AGCCACTGAGGCGTACGCACACCTCTGATTTATACAAGAGAAAAACCCCTTTAGTGTCATTCCAGGCAGAGGCCCCAAACCCAGAGCTGCTCATTCACTCAGATCAGAACAAGATGGTCTCCACTTGGAACAACATCCAGATAAAAATGACTTCATTCTAGGTTTATGTAATTTATACTTTGGTGTTTTTAAAGTGTAAACACCAAGTCAACTGTACATAAATTATGTTCTCACTTTCCGTGGGCAGGTCTCCCTCAGCTCGGCCCTCTCCCAGAGGTCAGAGGTCAGGGTTCTGCGCAGTATCTTTGTTGTTCCTGCTGTGCACATTTATGAGGTCTCCTTTACCTTCAGACTCTCTCACTACTGTCTCCTTTACCTTCAGACTCTCTCACTACTGTCTCCTTTACCTTCAGACTCTCTCACTACTGTCTCCTTTACCTTCAGACTCTCTCACTACTGTCTCCTTTACCTTCAGACTCTCTCACTACTGTCTCCTTTACCTTCAGACTCTCTCACTACTGTCTCCTTTACCTTCAGACTCTCTCACTACTGTCTCCTTTACCTTCAGACTCTCTCACTACTGTCTCCTTTACCCTCAGACTCTCTCACTACTGTCTCCTTTACCTTCAGACTCTCTCACTACTGTCTCCTTCACCTTCAGACTCTCTCACTACTGTCTCCTTTACCTTCAGACTCTCTCACTACTATCTCCTTTACCTTCAGACTCTCTCACACCTGTCTCCTTTACCTTCAGACTCTCTCACTACTGTCTCCTTTACCTTCAGACTCTCTCACTACTGTCTCCTTTACCTTCAGACTCTCTCACTACTGTCTCCTTTACCTTCAAACTCTCTCACTACTGTCTCCTTTACCTTCATACTCTCTCACTACTGTCTCCTTTACCCTCAGACTCTCTCACTACTGTCTCCTTTACCTTCAGACTCTCTCACTACTGTCTCCTTTACCTTCAGACTCTCTCACTACTGTCTCCTTTACCTTCAGACTCTCTCACTACTGTCTTCTTTACCTTCAGACTCTCTCACTACTGTCTCCTTTACCTTCAGACTCTCTCACTACTGTCTCCTTTACCTTCAGACTCTCTCACTACTGTCTCCTTTACCTTCAGACTCTCTCACTACTGTCTCCTTTACCTTCAGACTCTCTCACTACTGTCTCCTTTACCTTCAGACTCTCTCACTACTGTCTCCTTTAGCTTCAGACTCTCTCACTACTCTCTCCTTTAGCTTCAGACTCTCTCACTACTCTCTCCTTTAGCTTCAGACTCTCTCACTATTGTCTCCTTTAGCTTCAGACTCTCTCACTACTCTCTCCTTTAGCTTCAGACTCTCTCACTACTGTCTCCTTTACCCTCAGACTCTCTCACTACTGTCTCCTTTACCTTCAGACTCTCTCACTACTGTCTCCTTTACCTTCAGACTCTCTCACTACTGTCTCCTTTACCTTCATACTCTCTCACTACTGTCTCCTTTACCCTCAGACTCTCTCACTACTGTCTCCTTTACCTTCAGACTCTCTCATTACTGTCACCTTTACCTTCAGACTCTCTCACTACTGTCTCCTTTAGCTTCAGACTCTCTCACTACTCTCTCCTTTAGCTTCAGACTCTCTCACTACTGTCTCCTTTACCCTCAGACTCTCTCACTACTGTCTCCTTTACCTTCAGACTCTCTCACTACTGTCTCCTTTAGCTTCAGACTCTCTCACTACTCTCTCCTTTAGCTTCAGACTCTCTCACTACTCTCTCCTTTAGCTTCAGACTCTCTCACTACTCTCTCCTTTAGCTTCAGACTCTCTCACTACTGTCTCCTTTAGCTTCAGACTCTCTCACTACTCTCTCCTTTAGCTTCAGACTCTCTCACTACTAGGGGTGCAACGGTTTGAAAAAATCACGGTTCGGTTCATTTTGCGGTTCATTTTTCAATAAAAAGTTTTGTCTTTTTAATAAACACAGCTCATGTGGACTCGGCACCTGCTCTGACTGCCCCCCCCCCCCCCCCCCGACCTAGAAATGAATTAAGGGGAAGAAAATGGATGGATGGATGGATGGAAGGCATATTCCATCCATCCAATTATGTCTATTTAACATAATCAGTGAAAAACAACACAAATTGCAACATAAGAAGGCAATTTATGAGGGTATTTACCCTCAGAAAAAAAGAATAGAATAAAACAATGTGATGGTTTCAAAAGCATAAACGCTAATAATAATAATAATAATGATAATACATTATATTTATATGGCGTTTTTCTAGGCACTCACGGTTGCCTTACAAAGGGTACACAGTTAAAGTGACCGAGCTTCAGCTTCAGCTGCAGGTGTGGCTGCAGGGTTTTAGGTCCAACCGGAGCAGGAGCACAGACCCCACCCATTTCTTCAGGTGGGTCCAGTTTTTTTTGAGGATTTGAGGAAATGGGCGGAGTCTGTGTTTCTGCTCAGGGAAGAACAAACACCTGCAGCCGCACCTGTTTTCAGGTTTGATGTTTTATTGACACGGCTGCAATAAATCAGAATCAGAATGATTTTTATTGCCACATAAAACAGGAAGTCACAGACTTGGAAATTGCTTTGGCTCAGTGCAACAGTCAGAAGATAAGTTAAGTTAAGTGACTTGATAGGGGACAGTAAGGTGACTTAAAGGGGCAGGGGAACAGGTTATGAAGTGTTCAAGAGTCCAACGGCAGAGGGGAAGAAACTGTTCTTATGGCGAGAGGTTTTGGTCCTGATGGAACGCAGCCTCCTGCCTGAGGGGAGTGGTTGGAATAGTCCATGTGCAGGTGAGAGGGGTCGGCTGTGATACAACCAGCCCGGCCTCGAGCTCGGGCGACGTACAGGTCCTGCAGCGATGGAAGGCTGCGGCGAATCACCTTCTCTGCAAAGCGCACAATGCACTGTAGTCTCTGTTTGTGACTTGAGGTGGGGGAGGACGAGGCGCTCAAATGTCTTCATAAATACAGACGCCAGTGCCACAGGTCTATAGTCATTGAGACCTGTGATCTGGGTCTTCTTGGGAATGGGGACGATGGTGGAGGATTTGAGGCAGGTGGGGACATGGCAGGACTCCAGCAACATGTTGGAGATGTCTGTGAAGATGGGGGCCAGCTCCTTCGAGCAGTGTCTCAGGGTGGAGGGTGAGATTCCATCCGGGCCGGCAGCACACTGAGGTGTAGCCTGGAGAACTGTCGTTGTGTCTCGTCTGGGGCTATTGTCAGTGAGGGGGCAGGAGGGGCAAAGGTGCTGAGGGGGGAGGTGTCGAATGAGCAGTGGGGCAAGGTGTCAGGAGCAACATCATAGCGGCTGAAGAACAGGTTTAGCCGCTCAGCCAATGTGCGGTCGTCAGCACAGTGGGGGGCTCCTGGTTTGTAGTTGGTGATCAAACAGAGCCCCTCCAGACAGAGGCAGGGTTGTTGTCCGCAAACTGCTGTTGTAGGCGCTCTGTGTGCTGGGCCTTGGCCGCTTTGAGTTCGTCCCTGTATAGGTATTTGGCCACCTTATACCCTCTGCTATCTCCCTCTTTGAAGGTGGACTCTTTCAGTTTCTTTCAGTTTCCTGAGCTGCCTGAGTTTAGCAGTGAACCAGGGTTTGTCGTTGTTATAGATGACCCTGGTCCTTGTTGGAATGATGCTATCCTCACAGAAGTGAATGTATGACGTCACAGTGTCCGTGTATTCATCCAAACTATCTGTGGCAGTTCTGAAAAGGTCCCAGTCTGTAGATTCCATGCATGCGCGCAGCTCTTCCACAGCCTCATCAGACCACACTTTGGAGCTCCTCACTACAGGTTTCGAGAACTTTAGTCTCTGTCTGTAAGCAGGAATCAGATGGATCATGGAATGGTCTGATAAACCGAGGGCTGTGCGTGGAACAGCGCGAAAAGCTCCGCGCACAGAGGTGTAGCAGTGATCCAGAGCGTTCTCCTCTCTGGTCGGGCATGTAATAAACTGTCTGTATTTGGGTAATTCCTGGCTCAAGTTTTCCTTGTTAAAATCCCCCAGGATAATAATCAGAGAGTCCGGGTATAAACGTTCCATACACAGTACTTGCTCTATGTCCGCGCATGGCGGTATGTAAACAGAGGCAAGAATGAATGAAACAAACTCGTGAGGGGAGTAAAATGGTTTACAATGAATGAAAAGATATTCCAGAGCAGGAGAGCAGTGCTTGGAGATCACTGTCACATCGTTACACCAGTTTGTATTGACGTAGAAACACAGCCCACCGCCTCTGCTCTTGCCTTAAAGCTCGCGCTGGGTTACACGCGAAACAGCTCAAAGCCCTGAAGTTCCAGAGCGCAGTCCAGGATCCGCTTATTTAGCCAGGTCTCAGTGAAGCAGAGGACACAGGAGGAGGAAAAGTCTCTGTTCTTAGTCATCGGTAGGGAGAGTTTGTCCATCTTGTTGCCAAGTGAGGAAACGTTGGAGAGGAATATCCCGGGGAGTGCTGTGCACGCACCCCTTCTCCTGAGACGCACCAACACACCGCCATGCTTTCCTCTCCTACGAGGCTTCACTCTTTTGGCTAAAACATGAACCAAGTTAGCTGCAGACGCCAAGAAAACAGGCAGTAGGGAAATGGGAACGGTGGGTCTAATGTTCAGAAGCTCCTCGCGGGTGTAGGAGCAGGCAGAGACGCTATTAAAGCAGAGAAAAAAGAAAAAGAGAGCGCACCAAAGAGCTGAGCCGACCGTGTGAGGCGCCATCTTGTTCTAGATCTGTATCTGGAGCGGAGGCCGTTCCAAAAGGATTGACTCAGCGGGTATGAATACTTTTGCTCATGTTTGTGGCACACATGCTGGGGTATGAATACTTTTGCTCATATTTGGCACACGTGCTGGGGTATGAATACTTTTGCTCATGTTTGTGGCACACGTGCTGGGGTATGAATACTTTTGCTCATGTTTGTGCAACATGTGATGGGGTATGAATACTTTTGCAGGCAGACGCTGGAGCTTCACAGAGTAACTGCTGCTGTTCTGTTGCAGATGAAGATGAGTGTATTCCTGTTCTGCCTGATCCTCGTTGCTATGGACTACAGTCCAAGCTCCGCCCACATGGTACCGGACAGCAGCCTCTCCACCAATGAGCTGCAAGTATCCAACCCTCTGGGCCAGAGCCTGGATGCCCAGGCTCCGCCGGTGGTCATCGTAGGTCAGTGTCACGGTCTAATCTCTCTAAAGGACACGTCAACAAACTGTAAAGTGAGATGGATGCAAAAGATGTTTGGGAAGCATCCATCCATCCATCCATTTTCCTCCGCTTCATCCGTTGCCGGGTCGCGGGGGCAGCAGTCTAAGCAGAGACGCCCAGACTTCCCTATCCACACACACCTCCTCCAGCTCGTCCGGGGGGACCCCTAGGCGTTCCCAGGCCAGCTGAGAGACATAGTCTCTCCAGCGTGTCCTGGGTCTTCCCCGGGGCCTCCTCCCGGTGGGACGTGCCCGGAACACCTCCCCAGGAAGGCGTCCAGGAGGCATCCTGAACAGATGCCCGAGCCACCTCAACTGGTTCCTCTCGACGTGGAGAAGCAGCGGCTCTACTCCGAGCTCCTCCCGTGTGACCGAGCTCCTCACCCTATCTCTAGGGAGCGCCCAGCCACTCTGCGGAGGAAGCTCATTTCGACCGCTTGTATCCGCGATCTCGTTCTTTCGGTCATTACCCACAGCTCATGACCATAGGTGAGGGAGGGAACGAAGATTGACCGGTAAATTGAGAGCTTTGCCTTTCGGCTCAGCTCCCTCTTTACCACAACGGTCCGATACAGAGACCGCATCACTGCGCACGCTGCACCGATCCGCCTGTCAATCTCACGCTCCATCCTCCCCTCACTCGTGAACAAGACCCCGAGATACTTGAACTCCTCCACTTGAGGAAGGACCTCTCCACCCACCTGGAGAGGGCAAGGCACCTTTTTCCGGTCGAGCATCATGGCCTCGGATTTGGAGGTGCTGATTCTCATCCCAGCCGCTTCACACTCGGCTGCAAACCGTCCCAGTGCATGTTGCAGGTCCTGGTTCGTTGGAGCCAGCAGGACGACATCATCCGCAAAAAGTAGTGATGAAATCCTGTGGTTCCCGAACCGGACCCCCTCCGGCCCCTGGCTGCGCCTAGAGATTCTGTCCATAAATACAGTGAACAGAACCGGTGACAAAGGGCAGCCTTGGCGGAGGCCAACATGCACCGGGAACAGGTCTGACTTACTGCCGGCAATGCGAACACAGCTCTGGCTCCGGTCATACAGGGACCGAACAGCCCTCAGCAGAGGACCCCGGACCCCGTACTCCCGGAGGACCCCCCAAAGGACACCCCGGGGAACACGGTCGAACGCCTTCTCCAAATCCACAAAGCACATGTGGACAGGTTGGGCGAACTCCCATGAACCCTCGAGTATCCGATGGAGAGTATAGAGCTGGTCCAGTGTTCCGCGACCGGGACGAAAACCACACTGCTCCTCCTGAATCCGAGATTCGACCATCGGACGTAGCCTCCTCTCCAGTACCTTGGAGTAGACCTTACCGGGGAGGCTGAGGAGTGTGATCCCACGATAATTGGAACACACCCTCCGGTCCCCCTTCTTGTAGAGAGGGACCACCACCCCGGTCTGCCACTCCATTGGCACCGCCCCCGATCGCCACGCGATGTTGCAGAGACGTGTCAGCCAAGACAGTCCTACAACATCCAGAGACTTTAGATAGTCAGGACGGATCTCATCCACTCCCGGCGCCTTGCCACCATGGAGGCTGCCAACCACCTTGGTGACCTCGGCCAGGGAGATGGAAGTATCCGCCCCAACATCCTCAGCCTCTGCCTCCTGGACGGAGGACGTGACGGGGGGATTGAGGAGAACCTCGAAGTATTCCTTCCACCGCCCGACAATATCCCCAGTCGAGGTCAGCAGCCCTCCACCCGCACCATACACGGTGTTGGCAAAGAACTGCTTCCCCCTCCTGAGGCGCCGGACAGTTTGCCAGAACCTCTTCGAGGCCGACCGATAGTCATGCTCCATGGACTCTCCGAACTCCTCCCAGTCCCGGGTTTTTGCCTCTGCAACAGCCCGGGCCGCGGCACGTTTGGCCTGCCGGTACTGGACAGCTGCCTCAGGAGTCCCACGAACCATCATTGCTCGATAGGACTCCTTCTTCAGCCTGACGGCATCCCTTACTGCCGGTGTCCACCACCGGGTTCGGGGATTGCCGCCGGGACCAGCACCAGAGACCTTGCGACCACAGCTACGAGCCGCCGCATTGGCGATAGAGGAAGAGAACATGGTCCACTCGGACTCGATGTCCCCCTCCTCTGCCGGGACCTGGGAGAAGCTCTCCCGGAGGTGTGAGTTGAAAGTCCGTCTGACAGGGGGCTCACCAAGACGTTCCCAGCAAACCCTCACTACACGCTTGGGCCTGCCAGGTCTGACCGGCCTCCTGCCCTGCCAGCGGATCCAACTCACGACCAGGTGATGATCGGTTGACAGCTCCGCCCCTCTCTTCACCCGAGTGTCCGAGACACGCGGTCGAAGGTCAGATGATACGACTACAAAGTCGATCATCGACCTCCGGCCTAGGGTGTCCTGGTGCCACGTGCACTGATGGACACCCTTGTGCTCGAACATGGTGTTCGTGATGGACAGGCCGTGCCTGGCACAGAAGTCCAACAACTGAACACCGCTCGGGTTCAGATCAGGGGGGCCGCTCTTCCCGATCACCCCTCTCCAAGTGTCACTGGCATTTCCCACATGGGCGTTGAAGTCCCCCAGGAGAATAACGGAGTCCCCGGGCGGTGCACTGTCCAGTACCCCTCCCAAGGACTCCAAGAAGGCCGGGTACTCTGCACTACCGTTAGGCCCGTAGGCCGTCACAACAGTGAGAGACTTGTCCCCCACCCGGAGACGGAGGGACGCGACCCTCTCATTCACCGGGGAGAACTCCAACACGTGGCGGCTGAGATGGGGGGCAATGAGTATGGCCACCCCAGCTCGCCGCCTCTCCCCGCGGGAAACACCAGAAAAGTGGAGCGTCCAACCCCTCTCAAGGAGTTGGGTTCCAGAGCCCAAGCTGTGTGTGGAGGTGAGGCCGACTATCTCTAGTCGGTATCGCTCAACCTCCCCCACAAGCTCGGGCTCCTTCCCCCCCAGTGAGGTGACGTTCCACGTCCCAAGAGCCAGATGTTGGGTGTGTGGACTGGGTCGTCGAGGTCTCCGCCTTCGACCGCTGCCCAGTCCTCTCTGCACCTCGCCACCACGGACCCCTCTGCAGGTGGTGAGCCCACAGGAGGGACTGCCCACGTCATCCCTTCGGGCTGAGCCCGGCCGGGCCCCGTGGGCTAAGGCCCGGCCACCAGGCGCTCGCTTGCGAGCCCCGACCCCAGGCCTGGCTCCAGGGTGGGGCCCCGGCTGCGCCATGCCGGGCGACGTCACGGTTTTCGTTGTCGTGCTGTCCATGGTTGGCTTCGGACTGCGCTTCGTCTGACTCGTCACTTGAGACCTGTCTGCCATGGGAGACCCTACCAGGGGCATGAAGCCCCAGACAGCATAGCTCCCAGGATCATCCGAGTGCTCAAACTCCCCCACCACGTTAAGGTGGCAGTCCAAGGGGGGAGCTGCTTTGGGAAGCAGCAGATAGAAAATATTAAATAAGAATGTTTGCAAACATTTTAAGTCAACTGTTGTCTGATTTGTCTCCTACAGAATTACCAAAACCAAAGAAAAATAAGAGAAAGAAACAGAAAAAGGTAAGACGTCGATCTGTGAATATTCTATTTTTATTTGAAGCAAACATTCTGTCGCCCCCTGCAGGTGAAAGCCAGATCCCGCAGACCTCAGGCGTTAAGCAGGGCAGGGCCTGGTTAGTACTGTGACAGGAGACCTCTGTGAACACCAGGTGCCACGGTGGGGCGGCTGCGGCTGTAAAGTGCCAAACTGAAGTTGTGTACTTAGGCAAAACACTCCCCCCACATTAGAATGAGTCTGAAGGGAGAGCTCTAAGCCACAGATTTAAGTGTGACACAAACGACTACGGAGCTAGAGCAGTTTACTTTTACATGGAAGTTACATAATTAAGTAAAGCCATAGCCAAAACTTCAACCATGAGCACTTCCCTATTGGGCTTCATTGAGCTAGCATTAGCATTGTTCTACGTATCTATAGCCTGTTGTTATTGATGCTTTGTTTATCCTCACTTTCAGAACAAGTACACGCGGAAGAGACCTCCTCCCGCCAACTGTGTGGCTCTGGGCGCCATCTGCAAATCCAACTCCGTCTGCTGCGACTTCTGCGCCTTCTGCCAGTGTCGTCTGTTCAGGACCGTGTGCTTCTGCCGCATGGGGAACCCCCGCTGCTGAGACCCCCTGCTGAGACCTCCTGCTGAGACCTCCTGCTGAGACCCCCTGCTGAGACCCCCTGCTGAGACCTCCTGCTGAGACCTCCTGCTGAGACCCCCTGCTGAGACCCCCTGCTGAGACCTCCTGCTGAGACCCCCTGCTGAGACCCCCTGCTGAGACCCCCTGCTGAGACCTCCTGCTGAGACCTCCTGCTGAGACCTCCTGCTGAGACCTCCTGCTGAGACCTCCTGCTGAGACTTCCTGCTGAGACCTCCTGCTGAGACTTCCTGCTGAGACTTCCTGCTGAGACTTCCTGCTGAGACTTCCTGCTGAGACCCCCTGCTGAGACCTCCTGCTGAGACCTCCTGCTGAGACCTCCTGCTTAGACCCTCTGCCCTGACCCCAACACACACACAGACAAATAAATTCATATAGACATATATCTATATCTATATATATGTCTGTCTCATGGCACGGCCCCCTCATCTACTCCTGCAGACTGCCCCCTCCCCCCTTCCCCGCCTGGAGCTTCTTTATTCCTGCACCGGGCCGTTCCACGTTATACAACTGTTGCGTGGCCTTGGTCCTCGTTCTACAGTCAGAGTCCTGGATCTACAGCCTCAGTCCTCGTTCTACAGTCTGAGTCCTGGATCTACAGCCTCAGTCCTCGTTCTACAGTCTGACTCCTGGGTTTTAAAGTAGTTCCTCTGATGCAGGAGTCTGTTGAACAGTTAGTGTCAAGGACTGTGATGATCCAAGACACTCTACATTCTACTACATTTGGTCTCTCCCTATTTTTCAATACCATGTGGTATCTCCCTCTGGTCCAATACCATGTGGTCTCTCCCTATGGTCCAATACCATGTGGTCTCTCCCTATGGTCTAATACCATGTGGTCTCTCCCTATGGTCTAATACCATGTGGTCTCTCTGTGTTTGAACTGCTCTGATTTCAACTGTTTTTTTCAGTGTCTGAGAAACTACTGTTGTCCATCCATCCATTTTCTTCCCCTTAATCCGTTTCTGGGTCGGGGGGTGGCAGCCAGAGCTGCACCCAGTCCACAGAGCACCAGCCCCTCACTGATCCTCCTGCAGGAGCTGAGTCCACAGGAGCCTTGATCTCTTGGCGGGGGCTTGAGGCAAAGTAGGGTTAAGTGTCTTGCCCAAGGACACAACGACAGCAGTCATCATTGGGAGTCGTGATGTATGTCTCGTGGTGGACTCAAACCCACGACCTTCAGGCCCAAAGGCCAATGCTCACACTTCTGTTGTGCTTTAGGGAAATACTAGAATAAACTGAACTGAATTGTATGAACAGGAACTACAGCAGAGACTATGGAGCAGACTCCAGTCCATGTGAAGACTGATGATGATGGATGATGATGATGGTGGAGGATGATGATGATGGATGATGATGATGGAGGATGATGATGATGATGATGAACTAAACCTAAAGTGATTTCAGTGATCTAAAATGCTCTATAATGTTCTAGAAACATTGTCCCCTTTGTCTCAATGTTCTGATCTCAGACTGGTTAGAGTTCAAGATCCTTCACACGGTTTCGCTCCTTTCATTCATTTTCAACCCCATTATTAGTCCATTTCGGGGTCGGGGGGTGGAAATGAGAACTGCCACCCAAGTCTCATAACACCAGTCCCTCACTGATCCTCCTGCAGGTGCTGGGTCCACAAGAAGATAATAATAATGCATCAGTTTTATATAGCGCTTTTTTGGACACTCAAAGACGCTTCACATGTCATTATTCTTTCACTCCAAACACAGTGGTGATAAACTACTACTGTAGCCACAGCTGCCCTGGGGCACACTGACAGAAGCGAGGCAACCAGTATGTGCCTCCGACACACACACACACACACACACACACACAGCAATGGGGCTCCATCAGCAGTGAAACAGCCTTGGTCTTCCAGCGGGGGCTTCAGGCAACATGGGGTTAAGTGTCTTGCCCAAGGACCCACGACCTCCAGGCCCAAAGGCGAATGCTCTACCAACTGAGCTACTGTCGCCCCAGTTTGTTTTGCTCCAGTTTAACTAAACAAATAATGAAAACAATAATGTCAAATGTTTTTAAGTGACACACATGAAAAGCTTGTTATAAAAATCCCATCAAAACAGGACTGGGCTTTGTTATAAAGCAGAATTACACTAACTCTAACTCTAGCTCTAACTCTAGCTCTAACTCTAGCTCTAACTCTAACTCTAACTCTAACTCTAACTCTAGCTCTAACTCTAGCTCTAGCTCTAGCTCTAGCTCTAACTCTAATTCTGACTGCCGTTGACAGCAAATACAAACCTTTTGTTGTTTGTAAATGTCATAAATGTTACACATTGAAGTTTTTACAGATGTGTGAACAGTTTAATGAATAAAATCCTCTCATTATGAACAGATCTGTGTTTTGTTCCATCACCCTGACCCTAACCCTCATCCTGACCCTCATCCTGACCCTAACCCTCATCCTGACCCTCATCCTGACCCTCACCCTCATCCTCACCCTCACCCTCATCCTGACCCTGACCCTAACCCTGACCCTAACCCTGACCCTAACCCTCATCCTGACCCTCATCCTGACCCTAACTCTCATCCTGACCCTCACCCTGACCCTCACTCTCATCCTGACCCTCATCCTGACCCTCACCCTGACCCTAACCCTCATCCTGACCCTCACCCTGACCCTAACCCTCATCCTGACCCTCACCCTGACCCTCACCCTCATCCTGACCCTCACCCTGACCCTCACCCTAACCCTCACCCTCATCCTGACCCTCACCCTGACCCTCACCCTGACCCTCACCCTAACCCTGACCCTCACCCTGACCCTCACCCTAACCCTCACCCTCATCCTGACCCTCACCCTGACCCTCATCCTGACCCTCACCCTGACCCTGATCCTCACTCTAACCCTAACCCCTTTACACAAACCTAACCCTAACCCTCAGTGGCCCAGGAATACCCGCTATGACTGGAGGGCCAGTGCTCACCCTCTCTTCACGGTGAGACACCCTTTCAACAACACCCTAACCCTTAACCCCAACCCCCGAACCCTAACCATATCGCACCACCTTTCATAGACAGAGATATGGCCCGTGCATCTCCAGACTCCACACGCTGGAGACAGGAACTCTCACACAAAACTAACCCTAACCCTCACTATAATAACAAACATTTAATCATATTTAAGACTAATATAATGACTATCAGAAAAAAACATCAACAGCTGATCTGATGTTGTCACAGTTTGTTGTCGAGATTTTTTATTTGATTAAAGTTGACAACTTTTCCCTTAGAAGATCAGAAACAATTTGTTCTTTCAGACTGTTTGTCCAAGTGAAACCATGTGTGTGTGTGTGTGTGTGTGTGTGTGTGTTTGTGTATCTGTGTGGAGTGGGTGGGTGGGTGTGTCTTTCTCTGTGTGTGTGTGTGTTATAAGTTCACATTATAAATTATGCCGAAATAAATGAATATTGAAATATGGGAGTATTTATGTTTAACTGTTATATTTATGTTTAACCATTTGGAGAATCTCCTTTTGAGTCTATATCAACCTGAAGCTTGGATCTGAAATCTCCCTCGTTGTTGTATCTCACTTGGTTTTGGCACTTTACATCAAACTGCATCCCAGCCATGTGCTAAAGGCTCACCATTTAAAAACTGAAAACTTTAAAACTTATTTGTGTTATTAGCATCCTTCATCTTCTTTAAGGAGTGAATGTTAAAGGTGTAAATAGCGGACAACAGGATTATTCAAACTTCAGGATTAGGGTTAGAATGCGACAGAATCAAAAATTAGTAAAAATAGTTTAGTTTTGTTTATTTCAAGTCTTTGTTCCAAAAAATCACATCCAAAACGTCAGAAAGGTTGGTCTGACATGGTATGTCTTCTGTCTCTCTTTGAACTACAAGTAAGTTGCAACATTGTCTTCTCATCAAAAACAGACCTGGACTTGAGCTTCATTCAAACTGATCCTAAAAATGTAATTCAAAATCATTGGCTCATTAAAAGTGAGTCCACTCAACCCAAACAATTCTGAGAAAATGTCCCTTATTTCTCTTTCTTATCACGTTTACAAGAGTTTTTCTCAAAGATGTCACAATAAAAGCGTCTCCTGAACCATAACTGTCCGTGAGCCTCGGAGAGAGTTGGCCTCAGGACGTGTTGTTGATCTGACAGCAGCAGTAACTTACTCTGATCTGGCCTTGGAACACATCACGGTCAAAATGTTTTCTACATTTTGACTCTTCTAGAAACATATGACGGATAAAACATAAATTAGGCTTTTTTAGAAACACATCCCGGATAAAACATAATTTAGGCTTTTTTAGAAACACATCATGGATAAAACATAATTTAGACTTTTCTAGAAACACATCACCTCACAATGAAAAGAGCAGAGTAGGAGCGGCTGAAGCCAGGCAGGATACAAGTGTGTGTTAGTGTGTGTCGGTGTACGTGCGTGTATGCATGAGTGTGTGTGTGTTGGTGTGTGCATGTATGTTGGTGTGTGTTGGTGTGTGTGTGTGTGTGCGTATGGGTGTGTGTTGGTGTGTGTGTGTGTTGGTGTATGGGTGTGTGTGTGTGTGTGTGTGTGTGTGTGTGTTCTTGTAATCATCACGTTGTGGGGACTGAAATCTGTTAACACAGTCACGCCATGGGGACCCATTTCCTTAGGAGGACCAAAAACCAGGTCCCCATAAGGAAAACCATTTAGATGAATGGGGGAGCTGTTTAGAAGGTGCTGGGCAAAGTTTTAGAGAAGGCTCGTAAGTGATGTTTAATGTGTGTGTTGTGGTTGCTCATTGGCACCTCTGGTGGTAATGACTGGTAAGACACATTGGTTTCCACACACACTTTGCATATATAATTAAGTACCGCCCACATCCTGGTCCCCAAGAGTGATGATCTTGGAATCAACTGTTTTCAGCTGCTTTCAAATGCAACAGACAGGTAAGCATAATTTGCAATCATTTTAGAACAAATATTGTATATATGCATGTTATTTAATAGCAACCAAGTTATTGCTAATTCACTTTTGTGGCCTGAATTGCTGTGGTTTTAATGTACAGACTAATGCAACTGGTTCGAGCTAGCATTGGCAACTTGTTGGAGCTAGCATTAGCAACTAGCTTGGACAGCAGATTCTACCAAACAGCACATGGGTCAATGTTCCCTTCTAAAAGGACATTCAGATGGCGAACAGTTGTCTTCGCAGTAAACGAGTGGTGACTAAATTACATAAGTAGAGCTTCTTATGTACTAGAAGTAGCTAGCTAGGAAGTTAGCACCGATTTTTGCTAACAAGCTAGTGTCAGAGTAAACAGGCTAAAGAATCTGAGTACTCTTTGCTGGTAGCTATACTAAAGACTGTATCTGTTCAATGCTCATGCAAAACGAATAAACTGTGTAATAAGTACAGATTCAGTGATTTACTTTGCATGGTTTCCCTTTTTAAGCAAGATTAGATGTGATTTTAATATACAACCTGTTAGCATTAGCAACTAGCTCGTATAGTAATCAACTTGTGTGTGGTACTTTCAAGAAGCAACTAAAGGTTTCTCAGTACATATACAGGTTCTGAATGATACAACTAAAGCTTTCTATGTAATAGCAGTAACCTATAGTGGCTTTACTTATTAAGAAGTAGTTTGCAGTTTAGTTTTATTTTAAGAATTAAGTGGGTCAAATAGCAGAAATATTTAATTTCTTCAAGTAGAAAGGAAAAAGAAAAGTTACTGAAGTACTGGATGAATATATTAATTGAGTACCTGACTAAATGTTGAAAGTAAAGGTTTGATTTGTAATTATGTATTAAAATATATTAGATATAGAAGATATTTGGAAGTAATATAGTAGAAACAGCTGTACCAAACCTACAGATAAAATAAATTACAAATGTAATAGAATTGTTTCAAAAAATGACTCAAGTGAAATCATAATTATGCATTCTGTTGTTTCAGTTTTTGATGATTTAAATGGCACCACGAATTAGCCCAGAAAAACCTCTGTCTGTGGGGTTTGAAAATTTAGCTGAAAAAGCTGTCTCTGTATTATATAATTTGAATTGATAAATATAGGTAAGCTTTGAGTATGTAAGCTTGGTGATTGTAGCACTATACTGTATAATGTATGTACTATATGTGTTTAAAAGTTTTTATATATCAATATATATATTTCTTTTTTTTCAGCATTGATGCTTCAGTACAAGATGGCACATTTGGGCGTATTGTTAATGATGACCACATCCACCCAAATTGTAAGATGAAAAGAAGCATTACGAGACAAAAAAGAAGGAGAAGAAATTACTTATGATTATGGTGGAGATGACTGCCCATGGAGAGAAAGAGTATGTCACAAACACACGCTTAAAATAATTGCTTATTTCTAACCTAATACAAAGAATGCCCTTTCAGTTACTGCTATTGACTTGAACTATGTTTGAAAGTTTGTTTCATTGGTCCCCATAAAGAATGAATGGAAGTGTGTGAAATGGCCTCCTATGGTGGTGATTTTACATTGTATGATTGTTTTAGTTATGACTTGGAGCTTGGAGTTTTCTGCTATAGACAAGGCTTTAGGTAGACTTCAGGAAGTCTAGTTTAGACCTTTATAAACCCTGATTCTCCACTGTGAGATCAATTAAGTTTCTCTTATCTTGTTTCATGGTGATCCAGACCTGGTGGTACATTTCAGTATTTTATAACATGGGGCTTGGTTGGAAAAATTGGAGCACTGTTTTAGACTTATAGATTATTATAGTGTTCTATTGTAAAGTCTTATACCTTCTGTCTCCCACAGATGACCCACGTGTCAGCAGATGGCTTTACAACAGGCTTTCTTGATCATTCTGACCATTCTTTGTCAGTTCTGAGCAAGCTTTTTAACATTTGAAGTCAATTATATAAGATTTGTTATGTTTAACTCATTTAACTATATTCAGTAAGTAGATAAGTGGAAGTAGAATATTTTTAGCCTTTTTCAAATGAACCATCACAATGTCCCCATAATAAATTGAGTGACTTCTGTTGAGTTTAATCATGTGTGAAAGTCTGTTGAAATGGTCCCCGTAAAGAAGGAATAGAAGTGTTTGAAATGGTCCTAAAAAGGTCCCCATAACGCACTAGGAGTGACTGATGATGAGTGGAATTGTTTGTGAAAGTTCATTGAATTGGTCCCCATGAAGGAATTGAGAGGGGTGTGAAAAGGTCCTCATGAGACGTGTTCCAGACTCTAGATGTGTGTGTGTACAAACAAGTTGGGTTTACATCTGTCAAACTATGATTTGTGTACTGCTGGTAATACTTGGGCCCCCTTGGGTGGTTCTTTAAATTTAAATTTGTGATCTCTGTTCTAGACCATGATTATTTTAGTGTTTTATTAAAAATCCTTATACCTTCTGTCTCCCACGGATGACCCATGTGACAGCAGATGGCTCAACTACAGGTTTTCTTGATCATTCTGACCAGCCTCAGTGCCACATGAATATGTCATTTGGAAACGATGCCTATCAGATTAAGGTAAGATCATATTTATCAATCATGACAAAATACCAGAGGTTCTTTGTCAGTTCTGAAATGTTTTTATAACATCTGAAGTCAATTATCTTAGATTTGTTATGTGTCACTCGTTAAACTATATTCAGTAAGTGGAATTGTCGAAGGAAAGTATTTTTTACCTTTTTTTGGTCATGGCAGACGAGAACTTTTTACTCAAATGTTTCTTTAAATTGAACTCTCCCGATGTCCCCATAATACACTTTGAGTGACTTCTATTAAACATGTGTGAAAGTCCATTGAATTGGTCCCCGTAAAGGAGGAATGGAAGTGTGTGAAATGACCATCAAAATGTCCCCATAACACACTTTGAGTGACTGCTGATGAGTTGAACCGTGTGTGAAAGTCCATTGAATTGGTCCCCATGAAGGAATGGGGCGGGGGTGTGAAAAGGTCCTCATGAGGCATGTCCCCGACCATAGATGTGTGTATGTGCAAATAAGTTTGTTTTACATCTGTCAATCTATGATTTGTGCACTGCTGGTAGTACTTTGGCCTTCTTGGGTGGTTATATTAAATTAAATTTGTGATCTCTGTTTGAGATGGTGATTATTATAGTGTGTTATTGTAAATCCTCATACCTTCTGTTTCCCACAGATGACCCACGTGACAGCAGATTGCACTACTCCAGGTTCTGTTGATCATTCTGACCAGCCTCAGTGCCACATGAATACGTCATTTGCAAACGATGCCCCTCAGAAACAGGTAGGATAATTTTTATCAATCATGACAAAATACCAGAGGTTCTTTGTCAGTTCTGAAAAGGTTTTATAACATTTGAAGTCAATTATCTTAGATTTGTTTTGTGTCACTCATTAAACTATATTCAGTAAGTGGAATAGTGGAAGGAGAATACTTTAAGCCTTTTTTGGTCTTTGCAGACAAGGACTTTTTACTTAAATGTTTCTTTCAAATTAACCCTCACGATGTCCCCATAAAACACTTTGAGTGACTTCTATTAAACATGTGTGAAAGACCATTGAATTGGTCCCCGTAAAGGAGGAATGGAAGTGTGTGAAATGGTCATCAAAATGTCCCCATAACACACTTTGAGTGACTGCTGATGAGTTGAACCGTGTGTGAAAGTCCATTGAATTGGTCCCCATGAAGGAATGGGGCGGGGGTGTGAAAAGGTCCTCATGAGACATGTCCCCGACCCTAGATGTGTGTATGTGTAAATACGTTTGTTTTACATCTGTCAAACTATGATTTGTGTACTTCTGGTAGTACTTTGGCCTTCTTGGGTGGTTCTATTAAATTAAATTTGTGATCTCTGTTTAAGACGGTGATTATTCAAGTGTTTTATAGTAAATCCTCATACCTTCTGATTCACACAGATGACCCACGTGACAGCAGATTGCACTACTCCAGGTTCTGTTGATCATTCTGACCAGCCTCAGTGCCACATGAATACGTCATTTGCAAACGATGCCCCTCAGAAACAGGTAGGATAATTTTTATCAATCATGACAAAATTCCAGAGGTTCTTTGTCAGTTCTGAGAAAGCTTTTCAACATTTGAAGTCATTTGTATAAGATTTGTCATGTGTAACTCATTAAACTATATTCAGTAAGTGGAATAGTGGAAGGAGAATACTTTAAGCCTTTTTTTGTCATTGCAGACAAGGACTTTTTACATAAATGTTTCTTTCAAATGAACCCTCACGATGTCCCCATAAAACACTTTGAGTGACTTCTATTAAACATGTGTGAAAGTCCATTGAATTGGTCCCCGTAAAGGAGGAATGGAAGTGTGTGAAATGGTCATCAAAATGTCCCCATAACACACTTTGAGTGACTGCTGATGAGTTGAACCGTGTGTGAAAGTCCATTGAATTGGTCCCCATGAAGGAATGGGGCGGGGGTGTGAAAAGGTCCTCATGAGACATGTCCCCGACCCTAGATGTGTGTATGTGTAAATACGTTTGTTTTACATCTGTCAAACTATGATTTGTGTACTTCTGGTAGTAATTTGGCCTTCCTGGGTGGTTCTATTAAATTAAATTTGTGATCTCTGTTTAAGACGGTGATTATTCAAGTGTTTTATAGTAAATCCTCATACCTTCTGATTCACACAGATGACCCACGTGACAGCAGATTGCACTACTCCAGGTTCTGTTGATCATTCTGACCAGCCTCAGTGCCACATGAATACGTCATTTGCAAATGATGCCCCTCAGAAACAGGTAGGATAATTTGTATCAATCATGACAAAATTCCAGAGGTTCTTTGTCAGTTCTGAGAAAGCTTTTCAACATTTGAAGTCATTTGTATAAGATTTGTCATGTGTAACTCATTAAACTATATTCAGTAAGTGGAATAGTGGAAGGAGAATACTTTAAGCCTTTTTTTGTCATTGCAGACAAGGACTTTTTACTTAAATGTTTCTTTCAAATGAACCCTCACGATGTCCCCATAAAACACTTTGAGTGACTTCTATTAAACATGTGTGAAAGTCCATTGAATTGGTCCCCGTAAAGGAGGAATGGAAGTGTGTGAAATGGCCATCAAAATGTCCCCATAACACACTTTGAGTGACTGCTGATGAGTTGAACCGTGTGTGAAAGTCCATTGAATTGGTCCCCATGAAGGAATGGGGCGGGGGTGTGAAAAGGTCCTCATGAGGCATGTCCCCGACCCTAGATGTGTGTATGTGCAAATAAGTTTGTTTTACATCTGTCAAACTATGATTTGTGTACTTCTGGTAGTACTTTGGCCTTCTTGGGTGGTTCTATTAAATTAAATTTGTGATCTCTGTTTAAGACGGTGATTATTCAAGTGTTTTATAGTAAATCCTCATACCTTCTGATTCACACAGATGACCCACGTGACAGCAGATTGCACTACTCCAGGTTCTGTTGATCATTCTGACCAGCCTCAGTGCCACATGAATACGTCATTTGCAAACGATGCCCCTCAGAAACAGGTAGGATAATTTTTATCAATCATGACAAAATTCCAGAGGTTCTTTGTCAGTTCTGAGAAAGCTTTTTAACATTTGAAGTCATTTGTATAAGATTTGTCACGTGTAACTCATTAAACTATATTCAGTAAGTGGAATAGTGGAAGGAGAATACTTTAAGCCTTTTTTGGTCATTGCAGACAAGGACTTTTTACCTAAATGTTTCTTTCAAATGAACCCTCACGATGTCCCCATAAAACACTTTGAGTGACTTCTATTAAACATGTGTGAAAGTCCATTGAATTGGTCCCCGTAAAGGAGGAATGGAAGTGTGTGAAATGGCCATCAAAATGTCCCCATAACACACTTTGAGTGACTGCTGATGAGTTGAACCGTGTGTGAAAGTCCATTGAATTGGTCCCCATGAAGGAATGGGGTGGGGGTGTGAAAAGGTCCTCATGAGACATGTCCCCGACCCTAGATGTGTGTATGTGCAAATAAGTTTGTTTTACATCTGTCAAAATATGATTTGTGGACTTCTGGTAGTACTTTGGCCTTCTTGGGTGGTTCTATTAAATTAAAATTGTGATCTCTGTTTAAGACGGTGATTATTCAAGTGTTTTATAGTAAATCCTCATACCTTCTGATTCACACAGATGACCCACGTGACAGCAGATTGCACTACTCCAGGTTCTGTTGATCATTCTGACCAGCCTCAGTGCCACATGAATACGTCATTTGCAAACGATGCCCCTCAGAAACAGGTAGGATAATTTGTATCAATCATGACAAGATTCCAGAGGTTCTTTGTCAATTCTGAGAAAGCTTTTTAACATTTGAAGTCATTTGTATAAGATTTTTCATGTGTAACTCATTAAACTATATTCAGTAAGTGGAATAGAAGGAGAATACTTTAAGCCTTTTTTGGTCATTGCAGACAAGGACTTTTTACTTAAATGTTTCTTTCAAATGAACCCTCACGATGTCCCCATAAAACACTTCTGTTGAGTTTAATCATGTGTGAAAGTCCATTGAAACGGTCCCCGTAAAGAAGGAATGGAAGTGTGTGAAATAGCCCTCACAATGTCCCCATAGCACACCTGGAGTGACTGCTGATGAGTTGATCAGTGTGTGAAAGTCCATTGAATTGGTCCCCATGAAGGAATTGAGAGGGGTGTGAAAAGGTCCTCATGAGACGTGTCCCCGACCCTAGATGTGTGTATGTACAAACAAGTTGGTTTTACATCAGTCAAACTATGATTTGTGTACTGCTGGTAGTATTTGGGACTGCTTGAGTGGTCTTTTGATTTTAATTTGTAATCACTGTTTTAGACGGTGATTATTTTAGTGTTCAATTGTAAATCCTCATACCTTCTGTCTCCCACAGATGACACTTATACCACAGATTTTTTGATCATTCTGACCAGCCTCAGTCCCACATGAATACGTCATTTGGAAACGATGCCAATCAGAAACAAGTAGGATCCTATTCATCAATCATGACAAAATACCAGAGATTCCTTGTCAGTCCTGAGAAAGCTTTTTTAACCTTTGAAGACAATTATACAATATTTTTTATGTGTAAGTCATTTAACTATATTCAGTAAATGGATAGTGGAAGAGTGGATGAGTGAGTTCTGTTGAGTTTAATTATGTGTGTGAGTCCGTTGAATTGGTCCCCATAAATAAGGAATGGAGTGGGGTGTGAAAAGGTCCTCAAGAGAAGTGTTGTCGTTTTTTGTCTTGTTTGTTTATATTAGTTTTTTTTTATTTACAGATTCTTGCACAGCACACATGGGAAGTCGATTATGTACCAAAACTGATAAGGACAAAAAGTGTCATAGTAAGTCAGTACAAAATGTACCTATAAAACTTGTTATCATCCAGTGAAGTTAAATGTGTCATTCATTTATTTTGTAAGTATTTTTTTTCAATGAATTGCATTCTGACTGTTTTTTTTTTTTACTTTTTTGGAATTCTTAGTTGTTAAAATGTTTTTTTCTTGTTTTATTCAGATGAAAGACACAAATCATCTTGACTGTGAGTTTTATGATTCTACAATGGATAGTTCAGACAACTATGTCCCAGATACCTCGTCTGATTCAGAAAGTGATAGTGATCCAAACTTCGTCATGAAACAAAATTACAACTCATTCTTGATGATTCTATCCCTGCAAACAATCTTGAATGGGACTTCACAACTTCATTCAAGATGCTAAGATGTGTTTCAGCTGAAACATCTTCTGCAGTTGAACTCAGTTCAAGTCAGGCCACTACAAATATGGCTGTTAAGGCATACAACAAAAATGGTGTACAAAGAATATATGACGAAAGACATTTTTTTGCTCTGCATTTGAAGCAAAATGTGCTTTCATCAAGAAATAAGCTGTTCACAATCCTAGCAATAAAAAATATAAAATTGGTTAATAAAGGCACATTTACAAAGACAGTCTGTGCATTCTTTGGCCTTAACATTGTACTTATTAGATTTACAAAGGGTCCCCATGAGTAAATTATAAAAGTGTGTGAATTATGCAAAAAATATGCAAATCTGGTCCTTCTAAGTGAGACTCCTTTTTCTACTGGCTTGTCACATGGCTGTTTTGATAAAGCTCAGAAGCAAAGTTTCAAAGCAGTTTGCTTCAGGAAAATGGTGAATGGTGATGAGAAAATAGTAGCATGTATGTAACATAACCTCCACGTCCATCAGTGCTAGGCTGCAGACAGCTGAGCCGGGTCTCCCTGTCTCCAGCTTTTTGTCTCTGCCTATTGAGAGAAGGATGCATTAGATTTCTTGAATACAAATGGCAAAAACCAGACAATCCAAAGTAAATCTTACCCGACGCTGGGAGCGTCGGCTCCTAGAGACAGCGGGTGATATGGCCATGCTAACGTTTTCCTCCAATATCTCCGGTGTGGTCATGACAGGTGACTGGCTTGTCACTGCCATCGGAGACTCGGAGGCGATGAGTGGAGGCCATTCCTCTCATCCGCAAGGGGGGGGGGATGAGGTGAGCGGCTTCTCTCCCTCGTCTCCGCCCGTTCCCTCCCCATTGCTCTCCGGCCGGAATAAAAGAAGCGAGGAAATGAGGGGCGGAGCCTCACTTCCACAGGCTGCAAAAGATTAAAATAGTTTTTGAATAAATGAAGTCTGAAGCTGGAAGAAAGTACACGGCTTATGCAGTTATAATCTAGTGTGGAAAAATAGGGTGAGAAAGCTATGGGTACTGGAGTCAGACTTTAATTATAATCACCAGATGAAATTAACAACAGCAACAGGTTTTTACCGAAAAAACATGACAAGAAACAAAAATGGTGTCTAGAGCAGACTCTTCTCCTGCATTTGTCTCCTGTAGGTTAGACTACTGTGACGACTGCACACTGGGTTCTGATGCAGTATATTCATAATGTTACAGCTCACTTTTAACTATGTAGAACTTTTCACCCGAGATGAGACTTCAAGATATTCCCAGATTGCAGCTGTAGCCGAATGACCGTTTTAGTTTTCAATTGGAGCAGGACCAAGGCTTCAAAATGGACTATATCATTTTCTAATCAGGGCTAACACCTAAAAGACCAGAATTGTTATTTCGATGTCTCACCGTCTGCTTCTCTATCCCGGGCTGTTCAGTGAGAAGTGATGAGTGGGTCACTTCTCCAGCTGCTGCCCTGGCCACCCTCGGGCGTCTGTGCCTTCTCTGTCGGGCAGCAGGTTTGCGACTCCTCGGGGGAGGAGTCTTTCAATAGAAAAAGATAATATATTTAACATTTCTACATTATCATATTTATTGTAGAGTCAACATAAATCAAAATACCTCTTCTGTTGACGAAGTAGAGTCCAGACAAGATGGATAGACCTTTTCCACCTTGAGCATATTGGCCTCGCTGAACATTGTAGGCGAAAGCGGTAGGATTGGCGCGTTCCTCACCGGTTGAACCAGCCGTGGACCTCTGGGAAATCTCTGGGTGTGCGTAGAGGCCCTTGGCTGATTCCTCTGTAACATAAATATGAATAACATGACTGACTGTACTCCTGTTTGCAATAACTGCATTAACTGCACACATTTGAGACAGGGAACCTTTCAAAACATGGATCCACCTCTCACCTCTAAATCTTAACCTTCTTCACATGAACTCAAATGACAGCACCAGTAATAAGAGGCTTCTTAAAGCTGGAGTACCCAACTTTATTTTGGTTTCATAAATAATTGTGTTTGTCTCAACATAAACACCCTTGATTAAGAAACATTCAGTAGAAAAACAAGATGCCAAATTTGTTCTAGAAGTGAGGGCTAATACACTCTTTCACTGAAAACTATGATCTAACTGTGACAGGAAAAAAAAATACAAGTAAATAATCCTGATGGAGACAAACACCTTGGAAACAGTTACATCCTAGTTTTTGTAATTTTACCCCTTTAAGGATACAACTTTAACCAATCTAGAGTACATTTTGTTCAACCAGGAAACAATATATTCTCTCTCTACTTATACATTCAACAGAGTCTTTAAATTACAGGAAAGAAGTGGTAGTTAGCGTAGACAAAAAGTACAAAATTGTATTTTTGTGATTATACTTCCTGGTCCCACAAACTTATCCATGAGTTTATTTCACAATTATATAATATAATATTATAAATGTAATTAAAAGTGTCGTCACCTCTCGGCCTTGTCCAATAACTGTCCACTCAGGAGGGGGTGGGCGTGGCGAAGGCTCAGGGCCAGCCACAACCACTCTTGGCTTATACCTCCAGGTGTACGGTTTGGATGGGGAGGGAGGAACCACAACGGTAGGAACCTTCCCTTCAAGCTGCTGGTAGCACGCCTGCTGCAGCAGTTTAGCGTAGACCCCCATCCCATGATTGTCACTCAGATGGACCTATAGAAAAAAGAAAGATTAGTATCAAAAGGATTTTAACAAGTGGTTAAGCTAGGTGAGCTAATTTGAAATAAGACTTGTAATTATATATCTAAAAGTGACTTTGAAATAAATAGTGCTAATACTTTCGAAAGTGTATTATGTATAAACTATGTATTGAATTAAACACATTCAATGTTGACCCCTTTAAAGCTGACATACTGTATATGCATGTCAGCTTCACTAATATCTAAAATATAATCCTATTAGTATGATTATGTATAATTAGGAAAAGTCACAGATGCTAATGAGCTATAAATGATATATTTCCTGTTTTCATCTGTGATCTACAAGTATAAAGGTTTACTTTCTCTACTGTTGAGAAATGAGGCAATTTAAGAGATAGCTGTATATTTATATGTACTGTCATGTACTCATGCATATGGAGGACCAAAAATGTCAAAGAAAAAAATAATGAATAAATGTCACTATCTGCAAAAATATGTTGAGATAACACAAATGATGAGATTTAATAAATACATATTATTCAACGTTCTAAACGTTTACAACGTTTTTTGGCTCAAAACTAAATAATAAAGCTTCATTGTTGTACAATAATAATGTATATTCATTCATTTTCAAGCCCTTTATTGTCCATTTCTGGGTCAGGGGGGTGTCAATGAGAGCTGCCACCCAATGCTCATAGCACCAGTCCCTCTGATCCTCTGCAGGGGGTGAGTCCACAGGAAGATGGCTGCTCTGTCAGTGGTGAAACAGCCTTGGTCTTTCAGCGGGGGCTTCAGGCAACGTGGGGTTAAGTGTCTTGCCCAAGGACACAACGACAGTAGACATCAGTGGGAGCAGTTGGAGTAGGTCCCATGGTGGGAATCGAACTCACGACCTCCAGGCTCAAAGGCCACTGCTCTACCAACTGAGCTACTGTCGCCTCAATAATGTATATATATATATTTTTTTTTATATCATTTGCAGTGTTATCTCAATAAATATTTGCAGATTGTGACATGTGACATTTATATATTCATTTGTTATTACTTTGACAGTTGTGGTCCTCCATACATGCTGCACACACAAACATGTGATAAATGTAGCCCATAATGTGGCCCAAGATCACTGCACCTTGTTTGCCCTGCTGTATAGATTGTGATGTAAACTTTTACTTACACCATCCCAGCACCACAACCGGAGTTTGTCCATCCGGAAGTGCTCAGCCACAGGAAAGTAGCGGATTTCTGTGAAAACAGCCAGATACAGAGCTGTTTTAGGGCACATTGACATCTGAAAACTCACACTTTGAAGCCAATACATTATATTCTACTTACCCCTGCGAGCTGCCACACGGCGGTACTCCTCCCTAAGGGCCTGTTGGAGCTCCACCTCTACTGTCAGACGAGGTGGAAAATCCAGAACACAGACCTATGTGAAACGTTACAGAATGAATATACTGTCTAAGGAACCATTATAATAAAATGACTTTAAACAGAAACATGCTGAGACCTCTTGCCAGCGGCTGCACACTACGTCGAGGAGTCGGGCGAACTCTGATGCAGCCTCTGTAACCGTCTTGCTGGCTGTTATGTTGTTGCAAGGAGCGAGGAGACACACGACGTCTGGCTCCCTCTGAAGTGGGTGGGTCTTCACAAGCCATTTGTGAAGACAGCTCCTTGCATATGTCCCGGGCAGAACCACCGGGTATGGAGCAGAAGCCAAAAGAAAAACCGTCTTCTGGCATCGGCACGAACCCATCTACGATCGCACGCAGATGGGAGTTTCCAAGGACAAATGCAAACTGTTGATGAGAAAAAAAGTGTATTCAAAGAAAGTAAAAACATTTCATATTTAAAAACTAATGTTTTGGGACATACCTTTTTGTCCGGAAACACTGGCGGAACGACCCACTTACAAGGCTTGTCGACGTACGACGAAGTGGGCCAGTTCTGCTTCTTCACAGAATGCCGAGAACCAAGACCAAGGCCTATGAACAGCAAATTATACAAATAATGTTGCAGCGACAGATGGAAAAGTGAATAAGTTTAAAGATTAAACATACGAGTGGTCGGCTCAGGGCATTGCTCATGACGAGGAACCTGAACAGCTAGCCCAGAAGAGGCCAGCTGATCCACTCCCCGCCGGGACAAGTCTAGCTTGTGCTCCCAGCGCCGGGCCGTGGCCTCGGAGCGCTTCCAGCCAGGCTTCCTGGGCATCTGAAAGCACCAGTGACAAGTTAACAAACAAATCAAATGTTTCAATCATTCAATCAACAGCTATAGACAGCAGATGGGCAGAAGCAGTGTACTATCATCAACTATATTACTTATAAATACTATAAATATGACTTTAAAGCCAGTCAAATATGACTCAGTTTTAAGTAAAAAAAAATGTATCTTCTACATACTGACAGCTAATTGGCTGAGTGAGAGTTAGTTATCTATTTTCCACTGAAAAAGCTGATCTAAAAGACCAACAGAAAGTCCAAAATGACATTCATGACCATAGCATATCTACAGCAGGTCTAAAGCTTGGACTTAATACTATCATGTTACTAGTGAAAAAAAACTATTCAATGTATTCTTGTATAGCCCTAAACCACAACAGTCTCAGAGGACTTAAAACCATTTAAATCAAAAGAAAATAACAAGCCCCCCTGCTTTCATTCAAGACCACACACTATGACCTGGACTGAAACAAAACCAGGTCTGAACCAGGACACAAACACCATGGGTCACATGTGAAACTGAGGAAACAACTAGGTCTAAAAAAAAATAATAAAACATAAAAAAAAGGCACAATCTTTCAAATGGACCAATCAGATCAAACTTCTAAATGAACTTGTCTCAGCTCGTCACAGAAAAGATGGCAGCCTCCATGAAATATGTAATATTAAAAACATCCATTGCAGAGAAAGTTGTGTCATCAAAATATGATGTATTGTATCACTTTAAACATACTTAAACATGTTAATATAACAGGTGATACGTCAGTCTTTTGACTCCATCCTCCATCTCTCATGGAGGCGGCCATCTTGGTTTCAAGGAGCAGGCATCATTATAAGACTATTACATGACACTGTATTGTTTCCATTACATGACATTAGTGATCACAAGCAGGACCGAACAGGACTAAAGCAGGACTAAAGCAGGTCTAAAGCAGGACTAAAGCAGGACTAAAGCAGGTCTAAAGCAGGTCTAAAGCAGGACTAAAGCAGGACTAAAGCAGGACTAAAGCAGGTCTAAAGCAGGACTAAAGCAGGACTAAAGCAGGACTAAAGCAGGTCTAAAGCAGGTCTAAAGCAGGTCTAACGCAGGACTAAAGCAGGTCTAAAGCAGGACTAAAGCAGGACTAAAGCAGGTCTAAAGCAGGTCTAAAGCAGGACTAAAGCAGGTCTAAAGCAGGTCTAAAGCAGGTCTAAAGCAGGACTAAAGCAGGTCTAAAGCAGGTCTAAAGCAGGACTAAAGCAGGTCTAAAGCAGGTCTAAAGCAGGTCTAAAGCAGGACTAAAGCAGGTCTAAAGCAGGACTAAAGCAGGTCTAAAGCAGGTCTACTAAAGCAGGTCTAAAGCAGGTCTAAAGCAGGTCTAAAGCAGGCTAAAAGCAGGTCTAAAGCAGGTCTAAAGCAGGACTAAAGCAGGTCTAAAGCAGGTCTAAAGCAGGACTAAAGCAGGTCTAAAGCAGGTCTAAAGCAGGTCTAAAGCAGGACTAAAGCAGGTCTAAAGCAGGACTAAAGCAGGACTAAAGCAGGTCTAAAGCAGGTCTAAAGCAGGTCTAAGCAGGCTTAAAGCAGGTCTAAAGCAGGTCTAAAGCAGGTCTAAAGCAGGTCTAAAGCAGGACTAAAGCAGGTCTAAAGCAGGACTAAAGCAGGTCTAAAGCAGGTCTAAAGCAGGTCTAAAGCAGGTCTAAAGCAGGACTAAAGCAGGTCTAAAGCAGGTCTAAAGCAGGACTAAAGCAGGTCTAAAGCAGGTCTAAAGCAGGTCTAAAGCAGGACTAAAGCAGGTCTAAAGCAGGTCTAAAGCAGGTCTAAAGCAGGTCTAAAGCAGGTCTAAAGCAGGTCTAAAGCAGGTCTAAAGCAGGTCTAAAGCAGGTCTAAAGCAGGACTAAAGCAGGTCTAAAGCAGGTCTAAAGCAGGTCTAAAGCAGGTCTAAAGCAGGACTAAAGCAGGACTAAAGCAGGTCTAAAGCAGGACTAAAGCAGGTCTAAAGCAGGTCTAAAGCAGGTCTAAAGCAGGACTAAAGCAGGACTAAAGCAGGTCTAAAGCAGGTCTAAAGCAGGTCTAAAGCAGGTCTAAAGCAGGACTAAAGCAGGACTAAAGCAGGACTAAAGCAGGTCTAAAGCAGGTCTAAAGCAGGTCTAAAGCAGGTCTAAAGCAGGTCTAAAGCAGGTCTAAAGCAGGTCTAAAGCAGGTCTAAAGCAGGTCTAAAGCAGGTCTAAAGCAGGACTAAAGCAGGACTAAAGCAGGACTAAAGCAGAACTAAAGCAGATTATAAAAACCTGTTCTAAATTAATTCTGAGCTGCCATGGCCAGCTCCTTGCAGACAAAATGGCTGCATCCATGAAATATTGAAAAAACATGCAATAAAGCCTTTGATATTTTCAATATTACATTTGGCAGACATGTTAAAGCTTTATCTTTAAGTTATACATAGACATTACATGAATAATATTAATATCTGTAAAGATATTAAATTAAATGTTTATATCTCACAAAAAATACTTAGCGTTATTTAATTTATGTATACCAGCTTTAATTGCACACTCTTAACCAGGACTGACATAAACGCCATCTTACACACACACAACCCTTATTTAAATAATATAAAAAACATTACTAGAATATTTACAGACAAATATGACTAAAGCAGGTCTAAAGCAGGTCTAAAGCAGGTCTAAAGCAGGTCTAAAGCAGGACTAAAGCAGGTCTAATGCAGGACTAAAGCAGGTCTAAAGCAGGACTAAAGCAGGACTAAAGCAGGTCTAAAGCAGGACTAAAGCAGGACTAAAGCAGGACTAAAGCAGGTCTAAAGCAGGACTAAAGCAGGACTAAAGCAGGACTAAAGCAGGTCTAAAGCAGGACTAAAGCAGGACTAAAGCAGGTCTAAAGCAGGTCTAAAGCAGGTTCCAAACACATTTTTTTTACCACAAACTCCACCAACACTAACTACACAAGTGCACACACACACCCATGCATCTTTTAAACGGACCAATCACAGCCAAGCAGCGATTCAAACACAACCAGTACTTGAAATGAGCAGGAACATATCTATATATTTTTTTATCACATAATACTATAACATTTTAAGACAAATAGGACTAAAGCAGATTTAATCCACTGTATACCCCAACGTAAGCCGCTAGCACAGAGCAGAGGAAAAGATGCTTCAAACATTATCATGTGTACAAACCAGCGCTTACCTTTCAGTGAAAGATGCTTGCAGGCGATCAACAGTTGATCTAAAAAGGACCTTTATTCTTGTAGATTTTTTCTTCTCTTTTTTAAAAGTAGTTTTAGGTTTTGTGGAGATGTAGATGATCGGACACACAAGTCAGAAAAGACTGAAAAAAATCAGCTAATCCAAGCAGTGAATCCAGGAGTTGAAGCAGCTTCTCGTAGAATAAAATATTCCAGCAGAGATGCAAAAGGGAACAGATGTTAACAAAGTTAAGATCTGCAAAGAGAAAATGGCTGTCTAGAGTTTTTATATCAGAGCATGCAGCCAATAAGAGAGCTTCACATTTACAAGGGCCAATCACGAGAAGTTGTATGTCCCGCCTCCTGGCCTAAGATGGCCGACAATGAATGTCACAATGATTATTATAACTATTACAATGATTAAAACAAGTACAAAGCTGTGATATATTCAAAATAATTTTTAAAATGACTTGTTAAAGAATGTATGTATTATTATTTAAAGATCAACTAAACACCAGTGCCCAGCCTGACTCCGCCCACATGAACATTTGAAAATTCTCCCCAAAATGGGCGTTGCCCAGGAGGACCAAGGGCTTAGTGTTGGCCGTGGCCTGGGCTTTGATTGACGGCTCTCTTGTAGCTATGGAGAGTGACAGTGACAGCAGCTTCGCGACCGAGCGCTCTTTTGAGGTGGAGGACTTTTCTCCGCCTTCATCACCAGAGGTGGAAGTGGAGGAGGTTAATGTGGAGGAGTCCGGCGGCCCTGAGCCGTACATGTTTGAGCCGATGGCCACCGGTGCAGCTAGCACTGACGAGCCTTCCGAGGCATCAGTGCAGCACAGAATGGGTCCCGTTACTGAATGGTACATTGGTGTTAGCATTATTGATAATATTTTTATTTGATGTAGAACAAAAGAGATGGATATTGTGGTTAGGGTTACACACACATGACTCTGCATCAACAGGTGTTTGTGTGGAAACTGCACATCATTATCCCCAGAAGAGAACGTGTGCTGTAGGGAGACACCAAAGGTACAATAGAATAAAATTAAATAAGACATAATTATACAAATCATATTTTCCTCATTAAGTTCCCTATTTGTGGTAGGTAATGCACAGATGTCAGCAGGTGGGTGTAAACACCTGCATTACGGAGCACCCGGGGTTTGAGGCAGTTGCCCTCAACCCATATGTGCTGCAGGCAGTGTATGGCACATACTTACAGCTCTTTGGTGACATGCCAGAGACGATGGTGCATCGTTAGTTTTTGCAGGATAATTGATTAACAATTAGGTGGTTGACAACCCATACATCTCTTCTTTCAGTAATTACCGGCACCTTGCATACCGGAATGTGGTCAGGTGGTGTTGGGGTTACCTAGGCCAGCATATCAGAGTCGTGATCCCGTCCTGTGCTGTGACCCGTATCAGGCTGGAGTTCCCTGATTATGTGGCTTACACGGGGTTCCTCCCTGTCCTGAATTTTCATGGCCAATAAACATCAATATAAACACAAATGCCATTCTGAAATGTTTTATTGCTTGTCTTAATTTTTTTCCTTCAGATCTTATAACGTGCATATTTGTACATACAATAAGCATCCAAATGTAGATTGGTGCACCAGTGGAAAAAATATATTAACAAATATACAATATACTTTGTCATATTTATATATACATTGAGCATTTAAACCACGATTGTACAGTATCTAAATGCAAAAATAGATAATTGAAGTTTTTGGATGTTGAATGTGGGAATGTTCACAAGCCACTGACATTTATCTCACAACACACCAGTTGATAATAAAACCTAACAAATACTGATGGATAATGGACTGAGAGCAAGTTTAGGCACTGTCACAGCAGAAGCATGAACGCCACACTCCCTGGACCCAGTGTCAGGTGACATCACAGCTAAAGGCCTATAGGATTATATAGTAATGAGGAAGTGTTGGTCTTGTACAGAGAGATCATGGACCCAGTGACTGATTATGTTTGAAATTATATTGATTATTTTTTAGATACGACTTTTGAAAGTAATGCTGTTTATAGGAAATACCCACTAGACCCTGTGACATAATCACATTTCAGAACCTGAAAGCAACCAATTCCCCAAAAAAATCACTTTACCCCTACATTACTTACAAATCTATATTCACAATCTACACTTGTATACATTTTGCGGCTACAGTGGTGCAGAGTAGAGCTGGTCATCTTGTGATTGGAGAATTGGCGGCTCAAATCACGCAGGTGCACACTGTCCTTGGGTGAGACACTTCACCCTCTTTGCCTCCATTGTCTGCATTCACTGGTGTATGGATTGGTGACTGGTTCCTCGATGTCAAGTTCTTAAAGAAAGTAGAAAAGGTGCTATATAAATGTGACAATTTGCATTCAAAATGTATCTAGTGTGCAATACAGCAAGGCTAAACTCCTCAGAGTGTCAGTCAAGCTGCATAGGGAGTCAGTTTGCTGGGAGAAGTATGGTAACTTGAGCACTATCCTCTCCTCCTTCCTACTTTATCTACTTTATCTGTTTAGCACTTTTAGGATTCTGACTGTAGTTTGTTCATTGCTATTCACCCGTTGTCCCATTGTCTGTTTCATGGTACGATGACGGGATCTCTGAGCCTGGCCTCCTCCATCTACACCTGCGGACTGCCCCGCCTGACCCGCCTGGGAGTGCTTCAGTCCTGCACCGGACCTGTCCACGTTCAGCGGCCACTGGTCCACGTCCTGTAGCTAGCTTAGGTCCTGGATCATTAGCCTGTCCGTCCGGAGGAGCGGATCCCTTTCTCATATGGGTCTCCCTCCCTGTGGGTTTCCCTAGTTCTCCTCCAAGGTTCCTCACTTTTTCCCACTGGGTTTTTTTAAGAGTTTTTCCTTGTCGATGCAGGAGGGTCTTGTTGGACAGTTAGTGTCCAACAGAAAGGATTGGTGATGATCAGGACACTTTAGCATTCTACAACATGTATGGACATTTTCTTCTGTGTGTGCTTTATATTCTTCATGTGTTTTAACTGTTGATTCTCTGACCTGTGTTGGTGATTTCAATGGTTTTGTTAAGTCTCTGAGATGACTTCTGTTGTGACCTAGGGCTATATAAGAATAAATTGTATTGTATTGTGTACAGCAATTAAATGTATTACGAAAATTGATCAACACTACATTATCATCAATGTTGGCGGTACCTGAGAGTGAGGTCCATCCTGTCTTTCCACACCTCTGGTTCATAGTTAGATATGTGTCCTGGCTGACTCATGTCTGCTTTCTGAAAATATTTTAGTTCTTATTGGCATGCAGGCATGTCAGAAAAAAGCTATAATAGAACGATGATAATCTTGCATAGTGTTCAGTGAATAAACATATGAACAATAGAATGTGTACATTATAACAATATTAGTCATGCAAAATAAGTTAGTGACCTCATATATTTATATTCTGGATATTCTTGTTGTATGTGATCTTCTGGTGTTTGTTTTTCACCTTATTTGCTCTTGAAAAATCGTGACCTGTGCCTGCTCACTGCCTCCTTTTTGTCAGGCCTTTCATACTGGCCACAGAGTGGTTCAGGCACATGTATTTTGTCCGAGTGCTCTTGATACGGCACTGTATCCTGCACCACACACTCGAACAGCAGAGTCATCAGCTTATCAATGTAGACTGGGGAAAAAATACAACATAAATATTATAACAGCCCTCATTCATAACAGTCAAGTTTCTTTCATGACATACATGTGGTGGATTTGGTCTTCAGAGCTCTCACAGTATAGTCGCCATGTTTATATTTTGGATACACTATGGAGTACCTCAGCTCACCAGCAGCAGTTCTGGCGTGTGTGCGTGTCGCGTTCTCATTATAGTGCAGCGCTGAGATTTGTAACCTAGAACAATCAAAACAAAAATAAGAAAACAGTGATGTTATTTGGTTCAGTTTCAAAAAAATATATAATGAGGGAATAGAAAAATACTTACAAGGTTTTGGTATTCATTACCTGGCCATCATTCCTTTAAAGGAGAAGCACACACTTTTCGGAGAGAACCTGATGATGAGGCTGTGAAATGCCTCAATGTAGGACGTGTGGTAAAGTGGGCTGATTTTCTCCACGTCCTTCAGAAACCTCGGCGCCAGTAAAATGGCCGTTAGTCTTTCGCATGCTGCTGTGCCTACACACAAAATGATCAATGGAAATGTATTTTGGATTAGAAAGAAAATGCAAAATGTCCAAGATAACTAAATATATAATCAAAGAAAAACTGTCATTACTAACTTGGCTTGAGCCACTCCCTTGCTCTTTCCCCAACCAGTGGCTCGTGTTGGCAGCAGGGGAACAGGGCATTATCATGCGTGTGAATATTTTGTATGTGGTTGGCTACAGAGGTCCACTTGGCCACAGCTTCTTCTCCTGAGGAGGAAGTAGAGGCTGACCAGTAGAGGTGATTCACCACGCTCTTCCTCCATTGGCCCACATCCTGAGTGCTCTTTTTCTGTGCCAGTCCATCTATTTTCTTCCCCATTCCTATGACATTTTTTTAATTACATGGATTAGATCTATATTATCTGTTAATTATACGCTAAATACATACCCTTTCCCATGTGCCAAGGGTCAAAATAGTGAGTGATGTCTTTTTTTTCCTCCCTTAGGTACTTCTGCACTCCTGTGTGTCTGTCCGTCACAATTGCCTGTACTTTCACACCCTTCTCTTCCAGCATGGTCAGACTGCGTATAAATCCTTCCTTCTCCATCCTTACACTGTTCCCAACTTCACTGCTCTGAAATCCAACAGAATTATCTACATAAATGCGCCAAATGATTCCCAATTAATTGTTCAAATGTAAACATGGTGGTGTTTTACCTGGATAAGTTGGATGTCAATGACGCTGTTACTTTGCAGATTCATCATGGTGTAACTACCGTATTTAGCTGAATGTCCTGTAGAAATGCACATTACACTTGGCAAACTATTATTTAAAACATAAAAATCTTTGTTTATAAAGAAAAGATTTACCTGGAGAGTCAGCAGCATATCCCCACCCAGTGTCAAAGGCCCACCAGTAGCTGCCTCCCTGATTTTTTCGTCCTGCTCAAGCTTTCACTGGCAGCTGACCGTCGGGATGAGGAGCTTGGCCTGATGCTTGTAAAAAGTTTGCTCTGACAGTCCTTGAATGTTGAAAGCCCTCAGGAACTATGCAATATACAGTAATATTACCAACTGACTGTTATGGAAACATTGTCAATACAGATAAGACGATATATATACCTTGGAAATCTGACCAAAACACGAGCCAGTGAAGAGGACAGCAGCACAAAGCTGAAGATTTCCAGCTGGTATATCCTTCACCATGGGCTGACTGGACCAGTCATTGAAGTACTCACATGCTGGACACTGCTGTTTCACTCGGAGGAGTGTGCCCAATGTGGTTGTCTCAACTGTACAACGACGAGTGCAGACAGGACATTTTTGAAAGAGCGACAGCAGTTGGTCCTCATGAACAATGTACTTTCTGGCTTTGTGTGGAGGGACTTCCGTTGTAGCGCTATTATGTAGGAAGAGGCAAATGTAACCATTTAAGAGAATACAATATTTTCCAAGGTATATTTTTAAATAATATTTACCTTGAACAGTTCAGAGAACTGTCGTTCAGATGGAAGCTGGGGTCAGATGCAGACACCTCACACTTTTTTCTTTTCAAGGGTGTAGAGGCTGCTCGGGGACTTTCAGGAAGTGGGATTCCCATGAAGGTCCCTGTATCACAGGAAACGCTGACGCTCTTATGTGGAGCCTGCACCTGCAAGCCTGTTTAAAAGAACACAGATAAACACATTATTAATAGCACTAATAAATGGTTACAGTAGCATCTAACAGCGAATCCAAAGTAAAATTAAACTCTTGTACAAGGGAATAATACAGACTGTTATAAAAGACAAATAACCTTTGCTGCGCCTGCTGGGCTTAACATTGGCCTGGACACAAGCGTGCCTGCTGATGATTGGATCCGTCTGACAGGCCATTTCTCTGGTTGCTTTAGGCTGAAAACATAAGTAATAATATTAGTAATAAGTAATAGTAGTAAGGGAGGAAAGACTTATTTGTATAGTGGTATAGTAAGACTAATTTCTACAGTGTGGATGTTTCTTTGTAGTTTTGATCAGAGTAGTTTATGATCCCAGAACTACCTTGAAGCTTGTGCGCCAAGACCCACGTCTATTGTACATCTATTAAACAGGCTTTCTGCTAAATATTATTGTACATGACATGTGGAGTATTGGGGTAATATGTTACCTGGCTAGGACCTATTGTGAGTGCTTATTGATACGACGGAGATGAGGTCACGTGCGCTATAAAAATGTCCTAGCCAGGTAATAACAGGGCCTAACAAAACAAAACATCCATATAAATCCCCTTACATTAGCACACCTACGTGGACATGAGGAAGATAAAAACAAACGCAAGTGACAGTCATGTCCTGGAGATCGCGTTGTTACAGCATAAACTCGTTACAAAAGCTAGCCCCTTCGCTAACACACTGGACAACCAAACCATGTAAGGTAATATACCGCGCTAACTACCGCGGACCTGCACAGTTTCCTCTCGGTCACAAGTCTACAGTCCGTCACCAAATGTCTCCAACAAAGACACAACATTATTATTATTATTATTACTCATTGTTTTTGCCCACTCACCTCAGAGTGGCGCCCGGAGTCTCCGTGGCTGGGCAGCAACGTTGGGAGCTCCTTCCTCGCTCGTGGAAGACCAAGAGTGGGAACAGCCTCGCTCTTCAGACGGAGCTTTGTGGTGAACCCCAGCTCAAACTGAATCAAGTTGGCGAAGAAATCACGCACAAAATGGTGGTTGCAAACTCCAGCATGAGGCGGGAGTTCGCAGCTATCCCCCAGGCCAATTACGCGGTACCACTGGCGCCTAAAGTCTAAGTCCTGTGGAAAGTAATGTAATCCTACAGTACTTTGACAGCCCACCACACTACACTTTCTCCCCATCCTAACAAACAAGACAAGTAACACAAATACTAATACACAAACACGGACAACAACACCTAGCCTATACAAAGCCCTACGTTAATCTACAAGTAACACACAATGACTAAATTAATCTATACTCACGCAACTAAACTACCTGACAACCTGTGACTACACTAGAAACGCTACGCTAAAGAACTAACTAAATACTAAGCTAATAAATTGCTAACCTGAAAATCGATGTAAAATGCTCGCTCACAATTCCAACTCCAACTCGCTACGGGGGCGTGTCAGAGGCTACGGGGGCGTGTCAGAGGCTACGGGGGCGTGTCAGAGGCTACGGGGGCGTGTCAGAGGCTACGGGGGCGTGTCAGAGACCCGCGGGCTTTATAGCAGAGGCTCAGGAAGACCTGCGTCACAGAAAACTAGGGAACTCAAGAGCCAATGGAGAGTCCAGGAACGAAATTCAAATGTAGTGACACGGAAAACCATAGAGAGGGCGCCACACAGACGGTTTAGGCTCAAAAGTGAGATTTTAACTAATTTGGATTAAAATGTCAAATATATGGCCAGGACATGTAGGGAGCACTATAGGAAACATATTTAGGCAGTGTATAAGTAAAAAAAAGTTGATTTGGTGTTTAGTTACTCTTTAAGGTGATACATAAAAAGGTATAATATAAAGACACCATGGAGCGCAGACACACGGAGCACACACACACAGTCAGCGCTCCCTATGAGAGCACTGAAATGGTGTAGCCTTATTTGGAAATGGGAAATGGTAATATGTGTCTTGATTTAATTTATTTATTTTCACAAATAGATAAATTGATATAAAAACATGGATTTTCAATAAACAACTGTGCAGGAGACATTGTTCAACACAAATGCCACCGTTTGCACATATTAAGTCTGATATGCACAAACTTATAATAGGTTGTTCAACTTTTTGGTTTGGGTAAACTGAAAGTGTAAATCATAAAATTGCTGCATTAGCGCCCCCTACAGACTGAGTCGAATGTCTACATGGGGATACAGCACTAAACTTAAACTTGGTTGTTCAACTCCTGGGCCTAGGTCACATGACAGTGTGAACAATGACAATGGCCCATTAGCGCCCCCTACAGGCTGAGTAAAGGCTTACATGGGGATACAGGTATTTGGGTTTTCTGTTGTTTGATCTCATATTCGACCCACATAACAAACACGAAAACTCACCAAACTTTGCCACAAGTTTTTTTCAAGCATGAAGTGTATTATTTGGTGTCCTTTGGTATAACACTAATAAAATGAAATTGTAGGGGGCGCTATTGTACAACATTAAATGCCACCATTTGCACATACAAAGTCCGATTTGCACAAAATTTGAATTGATTGTTCAGCTCTCGGGTTTGGGTAAACTGAAGGTGTGAATCATGATATTGCAACAATAGCGCCCCCTACAGACTGATACAAGTGTTACATGGGGAGAAAGAGGTTTATCTATTCAGTAGAGACACAAAATCACTGCTCATTGGAACTCAAATGGCACAGTGTCGCTCCCATCAGGGCTCTAGGAAAATGGCGCGTCAGCGCCACCTTGTGCGCGGTGCGGCGAGGGCCGTTAGATGCCGCTTGCGGCTTTAATTTCTTTCTTTCTTTCTTTCTTTCTTCTGCGCTTTGAATCTTAATTTGACCCCCTGAACATTGATGAAAAGTTGTGAAATTTTGCCCAAAATTCAGAACCGGCGAAAAATTTATTTTTTTGGTGTTTATTTTTATGGGACTAAAAAAATACCAGAACAGCGCCCCCTACAAAAGTCAGTTTACATTGCGCCTATGGGAGGGGGTCTGAGGTCAAGTTTGTCGTAGAGCCACAAAACTCGGTACACATGTTCCTCAAGTCAAGACATGAAACAAATTTTATTATGGCTCCACCCCCTGACAAACAGGGAGCTCATTAATTTCAATGGGAAATGGAAAAATGAAAATTGATATTTTTCACACATGTCGGTTGGAAATTATCTCCTCCTCGGCCGTTTCACCGATTTGTCTCAAAATCGCTCCACATGATCTAAACACATGTCCCATCTATTATTGAATATAGAATTTGGATCAGTTAAACGTTGTCCGAGCAGCGGAGCGGCAAAATGTGACTTTTTTTTTTCAATTTATGACAAAAGTAAATTTGCTCCCGTTTGCACAAACAAAGTCCGATTTGCACAAAATTTTAATCCATTGTTCAGCTCCAGGGTCTAGGTCATTTGAAAGTGGAAATATTGAAATTGGCTCATTAGCGCCCTCTACAGACCATAGCAAAGGAAGGTTTCTCACCCATCATCTATACTTCTTAGGGTTAGCTTAGCTAACCCTAACCCAGATGAAGGGTGAGAAACCTTCCTTTGCTTTGACTAATCCCTGTACGACTGAGGGCTTACACAAACTCTACAGACCATGTCAAAGTTTTACATGGGCTTTTTCCAATTTAGTTTTTGCAAAATGTTTGAAATTTTGCACATAATTCTGTTTTGTCATCTGGAATCAAAAAGTCAATGGCCCTGTCCCAAATCGCGCACTTGCGCACTACACACTTTGAGAAGTGCGCACTTTTTGAAAGTGCACATAAAGTGTACAAGTGTGCAAGTACACAGTGCGCAAGAACTGCAGAATTGGGACGGTTGAGAATACGTCATTCAAGATGGCGGAGTCGGTGGTTGTTTTGGAGAATTTGCTGCTCCAAAATATGCAGAAACTCCAGTAAATTTGTTTTTTAAGACGAAGAAGGCGCAGACAACGCAGGAGGTTCATCCGCCAGGCTCTTGCCTTTGCGCAGGAGTCTGAATTGGTACGTTAATTTACTTAATACAGTAGTAAGACCGTTATTTTTAGTTTTCTGATAATGTGCTAGCGCCAAGAATAGGCTAAAGTGCAGCGTTTTCTAACGATGCAAACGTTAGAAAACAATGGAATTTACAACACAGCTTTCATGTTCTCAGAGTTCATTGTTCAGCAGTTTCTCAAAGCGTTTCTTGTAAATATTCAGAATCTAAACTGTGTTTAGACTGTTTCCATCAAGTGAAATGAAACCGGCTGATAATCAGGCTAGTAGCGTAGTTTACCCCTCTCAATTTAGTTAAAATAGATTACACAAAATTTGCAAAATTATTTCTTATTGGGCTCTGCAGCAAATACGTTTAAACCACATTCTAATGCAAGTTTCCAGTGGTCAATAATAACATACAAAAACTTTTGCATTTGTTACAACTCTGGCTCAGAAGTAGTAACAACGAGGGGAAACCACACAAGCAATGACGGTTTTAAAGTATTTATTTAACAAAAATGACATGAACGTGTATCAGTGGTGTGTGCAGTGTTGTCTGTATGTGAGGTGAATCAGTATGTCGATAAATCAACTAAACTAAACAAAGTCTAAAGGTGGAGCAGCCAGTGGTCTTTGCAGCAGAGGAGGAACACACTCTGCCAGCTGTGCTCCATTTATGTTGAGGAGGACAGGTGGAGCCTGGGCCCGGCGACGCCCCCAACCTCCTGTCCTGACAAGAAAACAGAGCAGTCAAAATAAGAGGACCCGCTTGGGCCGTCACACTCCCCCCCAGAAGAACAGGGTTCTTGCTAGTAACTGGCCTTACTGACGGCCTCTGGCTTCTTGCATGGCAGCAAAAAAAAGCCATTTGGCCGCCGTCACGTCTCCTTCCTCTGTCCCTGAACCAGTCTTTGGCAGTGACAAGTCCTAACATATTACATATGAACAAATACATGTTACCTGTATACATTACATGGGTTGCAATACATGTACCCTCAATTTAATGACCTTGGACTTTTTTTTAAGGTTTTCCCACTTTTTCTTACATTGCTGAGCAGTGACCTTTCCTTTCAGATCCATTAAGTTGATGATCTCCCTTCAAGAAACAAAAGAGTAATTGAAGTACAATCTGTATCAATAATGTATCAAATACTTTAAACAGTACACACATACATTTTGTGTAGTTACTTTGGTAAAATGTAACATGTAAAGGAACACAATACTTACCCAGTATCTCATCTTCTCGTCAAATTCTAACACATTTACAGCTTTTAAGGCCTTACATTTGGTGCCATCAAATTCAAGGAGAGCCTTGGGGCTGTCCTGTTTACAGAAGTGGTTAACGTTACTCACTCGTAGCCCTGCGTTGCTGCATTCCTGTAGCCAGTAAAAATGGTTTCCTTTTCTGCCCTCATCCGGATGAATGTGAACGTAAGTTTCACATTCGTAAGTCGTCTGTCCCTGTGAAAAAAATAGAAAACGTTAAAAGAAAGGCAACGTTTAAAAGAACGTTGTCCCGTTATGCTACGGTAGTAAGGTTACGATAAGTTTAATTGTACTTTATTGTAAGTACAATTGTAAGTATTTTATTGTCCCGAATCACCGCACAAACCTAAGCTGTTATATCACACATGTAATACAATGCTGAAGAAAACATGTATGTACTCACATTTAAATAAGCACTTCTTTGGACCTGAAGTGCCGCACTCTGTAGCTCCGACTGTCGCCATGTCCTCTGTTGTGGCAGTGACGTCACGACCGCAAGAAATGTGGGTAATATATCAGATTATCACACGCTCCTCACAGCAGCAGGAGAACCATTGATTTGAATGTAATTTCAAAACGTTCTACCGGTCATTATTTTTTATAACGGACCTCTCAAAACAATAATGGCCGCTGCCCTTTGGCAACGCACTCTCTGCTTGTCTTTCAGATGCGTGGATAAATCCGCAAGTAGTTCCGGTCTCTCCGGAGCTAGCCACGCTCAATAAACACACTTAAATGTTAATCGGAGAATACTTTATACGTATACATTCTTCACACACGTGCACGGAAATTTTCTGAATTTACTGGTCTTGTCTTCATGACAAAAATACTACTTGCGTCAAAAAGCGATCATGAAAAACCCGCAAGTAGTTCCGGTCTCTCCGGAGCTAGCCACGCTCATTAAACGCAAATGCCAATCAATCAACGCCATTAAATGTTATAATGTTATAGAATACATTATAAATATACATTCTTAATATAAGTGCATGGAAGTTTTCAGAATGTTCCGTTTACGTTTTCCGAAAAACCCAGAAGTAGATACCGGCACATTTTAGGAACATTTGCAGAGGATGGAATTATGGATTTAGGTTAAGTTTATGTTTGGGTCACTCACCGCTGATGTTCAGGATTCTGTGTTCAGTTTTCATGCAGTTCCAGAGAGTTCTAGTTTGGAAGTTGCTAGCCGAAGTGCTGCTAGCATAGCCACGGGAAAGCCTTTGGGAACTATTTTATTTTCTGTCATTAAATAAACCTTTCGGCATTCCTAAAAGTGGACTGAAGTTTATGTTGTGTGTTCTGTTGGTACAAAGCCGTATAATAAGCGGGATAACGTATATTACGCAGGTCATTATCGGAAAATAAGTACCTTGAAGGTACTTATTCTCTGATAATGACCTGCGTAATATACGTTATCCCTTACCTAGCCTTCAGCCGAGTGCGCACGGATGCTCCCTTAAGGACGGCACGGTGGCTGAGTGGATAGCACTCTCGCCTCTCAGCAAGAAGGTCCTGGGTTCAAATCCCGGTTGGACCAGGGCCTTTCTGAGTGGAGTTTGCATGTTCTCCCCGTGTCTGCGTAGGTTTCCTCCGGGTGCTCCAGTTTCCACTACCACTAAAAATATGTACAAGTGGTCTGGCATGTGCCTCCTGTGCTGGCACCCCCACTCCCAAAAAAAAAAAAATAAAACACTTGTAAACCGCTTTGAGACTCTGATGTGCAGTGAAAAGGCAGTACTCTATAAATAAAGTTCAATCTGGAGAGACTCAGAAGACAGAATGCAGTTTGAATGTTTTTAATGATAGGTAGTTTGGCGTCCTAGGCTCCCGTGTGGCAATTAGGGCCAGCGAGGCTCCTGCTGAGTGCACGCACGATCCCCCCGAGGCCTAGGAACTGGTGGTGGCATTAGGGCAGCAGGAAAGAGCGCACGCTCAAGCAAGGAGAGAGAGAGGGAGGAGGGGAGGCGGTGGTTTGCGAGGCTTGAGAAGGCCGTGAAGCGGGAGTCTCCGCTTTTAAGCTGCTTGCCTGGCCTGCATAGGTTGGCTGGGAATGGGCGTTTGCTGTGCGATAGGCCGAGGATGAGAGGCAGGCTTGGAGGGGATAGCTTTGGCAATCAGTCTACCAGAGTGAACCTTCGCGAGCTCCATTTCAATCTGGAGAGACTCAGAAGACAGAATGCAGTTTGAATGTTTTTAATGATAGGTAGTTTGGCGTCCTAGGCCCCCGTGCGGCAATTAGGGCCAGCAAGGCTGCTGCTGAGTGCGCGCACGATCCCCCAAAAGGCTGTGAGTTTGTACTGGGTTTGGCAGGACGAATTATTCGAGCGTGAGGCAACGCTATTAATAAAGGCAACGCTATTAATAAAGGCAACGTTTTGCGAGTGCTTACGAGGATGGATTTGCAAGGGCTTACAGGGATGCCGAGGAGCGCTGGGCTGCCTGTGCAGTCGTAGTGTCTGGCCTGAAGTATACGAACAGGGCAGAGGATGAGCAGCGCCCTTGCTGTGGAGGCCAAGGGGAAACCCAGCGACGCCGTGCGCGTAGCAGCGCCTGTCCTGAGGGAGTGAGATGTGTAGAGATTGGGAGACAGATTACATAGTAGCAGTTGAGGGTGCCTTTGACGAGGAGTTTGAGTGACGGCTCTGAGAATAGAGAGGGGAGAACAGGGTTGTAGCAGCGGGTCTGAGATTGGGTCCCAGCAAGCAGGGTACTGTAGGTATACGAGATATTGAAGGATATTGTCTGCACGGTGAACTATGAAAGCACTGATTGTGTGAACGGCAAGCAAGGTAAAGGAATGTTGTGTGAGTAGTAGAAGTGGGAGTAGACTTTCCGGCGAAGCTGAATGTTATGAGCTTATGCAAAAGACCCATTTTCGTGTACGAAGAAGAAAAGGCGAAGAGAAGGTGAGACTAGTCCAAGGCGGGGAACTCAATGGCGGGGATCTCGCATGGCATCATGTAGCCAAGGCGCTGGAATTCCTGGAATTTAAAGTGAGAGAGACAGTCAGTATGCAGTTAAGGTGACCAGGGACGTGTTGTGCAGTGATGGAGATATTTAAGACTGAGAGCCGTGTGATTTGTCTGAGAAGGAATCTTGGGTAGAGGAAGAAGGACCTTTATTTAGGATTTCTACGACGTCCAGCTTGTTGACATCACAGAGGTCTTTTTCCTCTGCAACATGGGACTCCCGGCGCACGGGCCACAACTACTGGACCTTTGTGGAAGGCAGAAGAGAGTTTCCGAGGGAAATTCTTTGGGCCACGGCCCGGTGAGTCACTTGTCCTGATAGACCCCCCAAAACCCAAGGACGAGGCAGCGTCCGCGAAGAAGCGCAGGGCAACGGAGGAACGGACCACATCACCGCAGAAAGACGGCGACCCGGCGGCCCTGCAGGCGGGACTAGAACATGGCCAGGGCGGCGCCCGGCGTCCGGGGAAGACAGCGTCGAGGTGGGAGGGGCCGAAACCAGCGAGGGAGAGGAGCCTGGAAACAAAGAACGGCCCTGGGGAACAAACCGGACGGCACGATTGAGGTGCCCGAGCAGGGAGAGCAGCTGGCGCTTTGACGGGGCCCGGACACCGCCCGCGCCAGAAGCCGTGTCGCCCCGCGGGGATTGAGGAAGGCCGACAGCAGGTCGAGGGATGCGAGGGACGCCGACGTCAGGAGGAAGATGATGAACGCCCCAGTCGGGGTGGAGTAGGAGCGCGTGGGCGAGCCTGTGGAAGACCGGGGCCGAGAGGCGGGCGCTGAGCAAGGCGCGGATGAAAGCCCCTCAGAACGGCGGCCTCACGGGAGCCGGGACGGGCCCCACAGCACGGAGCGACGAAGGAACCAGGCTCCAAGGACAGCACGGCTAGGACATCAGGAGACACCAGCTTCGACGGAAGGCCCGCCTCACATGGACCAACAGCACCTACAAGACAAAAACTGTTGCAGCGTATGAAATGCAGCCGCGTCGACCCGCGGCATGGACAGACCAGATTCCGCCCAGCATCTCTTTTTTTGGGAACTGCGGCGTCAACGACCAGCAGCTCGAGGATTGTTTCCTCATTCGCGCCCTTGCATGTTTCTTGAAGGACCCATCAAACATCAAATTTTATCATTGCCACGCCGAAGAGGTCCGCAGTACCGCTTTGCGGGAGAGGCCACGTTGAGAGCCCGGTCTACGGAGACCCCCCCCACAGTTGGAACGAAAGTTGAGACCACGTTCTCCGAGCAAGACGAACCAGAGTCAGCGCAGTCCCTTATGTGACCAGGAGCACAAGATCTTCCAGTGGAACCGAAACGCGGACCGTTGATAATGTGTGAGACGGTCTGCGCCAGTACGAAGGGGAAACATTGCACCACTCCGTGCTTTATCACGTTCTCCGAGATCAGCCCAGAAACGATGCAACCAGCGCTCGGGGCATCGACAGCCCGCCTGCAGGCCAGAGCAAGGGGTCAAAACGGCCAGCCCGCAGCCCGGTGCGCTGGGTCAAAACAGACAGCCAGCAGTCCAACGAACGGGATTAAAACAAACGGCCTGCAGACCGATGTGAGGGACCAAACTGAAGGCCAGCCGTCCAATGCGAGGGATTAAAACAAAGCCTGCAGTCCAACGAGAGGGATTAAAACAGAGCCTGCAGTCCAACGAGAGGGATTAAAACAGAGCCTGCAGTCCAACGAGAAGGATTAAAACAGAGCCTGCAGTCCAACGAGAGGGATTAAAACAGAGCCTGCAGTCCAACGAGAAGGATTAAAACAGAGCCTGCAGTCCAACGAGAGGGATTAAAACAGCGCCTGCAGTCCAACGAGAGGGATTAAAACAGAGCCTGCAGTCCAACGAGAGGGATTAAAACAGAGCCTGCAGTCCAACGAGAGGGATTAAAACAGCGCCTGCAGTCCAACGAGAGGGATTAAAACAGAGCTTGTAGTCCAAAGTGAGGGATTTAAACAGAGCTTGTAGTCCAAAGTGAGGGATTTAAACAGAGCCTGCAGTCCAAAGTGAGGGATTTAAACAGAGCTTGTAGTCCAAAGTGAGGGATTTAAACTGAGAGCTTGCAGTCCAAAAAGAGGAATTTAAACTGAGAGTTTGTAGTCCGAAGTGAGGTATTCAAAGAGAGCTTGCAGACCAATGTGAGGGATGTAGACTGAGAACCTGCAGTCCAAGTGAGGGATTTAAACTGAGAGCTTGCAGTCCAATGGGAGGGATTTAAAGAGAGCCTGCAGTCCAATGCGAGGGATTAAACTGAGAGCCTGCAGTCCAATGGAGAGCGGCAAAGACCCACGGACCACAGCACGAGACCCGCAGCAGGTGCAGCGACGCAGAGGAGGAGCAGACCACACGCAGCAAGACAGAGGACAGCAGGGACACGCACGAGTAAGCGTGAGTAGACGAAAGCGATTCCTCCAGAACGACTCTTTGCGAGGCTTGAGAAGGCCGTGAAGTGGGAGTCTCCGCTTTTAAGCGGCTGGCCTGGCCTGCATAGGTTGGCTGGGAATGGGCGTTTGCTGTGCGATAGGCCAAGGATGAGAGGGAGGCTTGGAGGGGATAGCTTTGGCAATCAGTCTACCAGAGTGAACCTTCGTGAGCTCCATATTACTACTACTTAACTGAAGTGTGGATAAAGTGCGTAGGGTGGACGGTTGAAAGTGCGCATCAGGAGTATTGGGACACACTATACACTTAGCAAACCGCAAAAGTGTGGTTATTTTCATAGAGAGGTGTGAAGTTCTCATGTTATCCAATGGAGACTCTATGGACACACTCACAGATTGTATGGGCAAACAGGAGCACATTTACAAACTCTGATTAGCACTAAACTTGACTCGGTTGTTCAACTCCTGGGCCTAGGTCACATGACAGTGTGAACAATGACATTGGCCCATTAGCGCCCCCTACAGGCTGAGTAAAGGTTTACATGGGGATACAGGTATTTAGGTTTTCTGTTGTTTTATCTCATATTTGACCCACTGAACAAACATTAAAAATCACCAAACTTTGCCACAAGTTTTTTTCTGGCATAAAGTGTATTAGTTTGGTGTTTTTTGGAATAAGGCTAAAAAATTAAATTTGTAGGGGGCGCTGTTTTACAACATAAATGACACCATTTGCACATACAAAGTCCGATTTGAAAAAAATTTGAATTGATTGTTCAACTCTCGGGTTTGGGTGAACTGAAAGTGTAAAAGACGAAATTGCAGCATTAGCGCCCCCTACAGACTGAGTCAAGTATTACATGGGGAGAATGAGGTTTATCTTTTCAATAGAAACACACAATCACTGATCATAGGCATTCAAAATGCACAGTGTCGCTCCCGTCAGGGCCGTGGGAAAATGGCGCGTCAGCGCCACCTCCTTTGCGCGGTGCGGCGAGGGCCGTTTGGCGCCGCTTGCGGCTTTAATATAATCTTGTTCTTATCATGAAGTAAAATATAAGCATCATATGTGTCCTTTAAGTCAGAAGAAGCTCTCTCACATGATCCATTTATAGTTTGTGCTTCCTTCTCTCTTCCCGGTTCATAAAAGTCAGATTGTATCAGCTCTTCTTGTCGCTCTGTGGTCTTCGCCTGGGTCACACTGAGGATAAAGCTCCCACGGACTGACTGGTGTGACTAATCTTGTTTATGTCCTGACCCTGAGGCGGGAGACGCCTCACATTCTGCACTGGACCATCAATAAAAGTCACATCTGATGGTAGTGGCTGCGTTAGCAGAGAGGAAAACCTGAGGCAGAAGCATCGTCATAACAAACCATTACTCCCCAATCGCACAGATGTTTATCACAGATGCATCTGTGAAAAACAATTCTCTATACACTTTCTGCACAAAGAACTTTCCTTCAAACTATGTGTCCTGACAAGGATACTGAAACAGGAACAGTGTGTGTCCTGACAAGGACACTGATACAGGAACAGTGTGTGTCCTTACTAAGCCCACAGCTTCAGGTGCCACCGTTTCAGCCCCTGCCTCAGCCCCTGCCTCAGCCCCTGCCTCAGCCCCTGCCTCAGACCCCTTTCTCAGCCCCTGCCTCAGCCCCCTGCCTCAGCCACCCCCCCCCCCCCTTCAGCCCCCGTTGCTCACATCTCGCTGCACATGTGAACGATCTCTGGACAGTGTCTTAAACAAATTTTTTTCCTCACGTTTGGACGTTTCCACAGATGTTTTTTCACTTTCATCTCGTGAGTTTTAGCTTCAGAAAAGCTGAGCAGTAATCTCAGTTACTGTAATAGTAATAGTAATAGTAATAATGTTTATATAAATGTAGAAATCATCCCAATGTTCCATCAGATTAGCAATGCTTCTAAGTTTTGTTCAGGTTTCAGCGTGTGGAAGATTAGATGCCGGATAGCGAAGACGTTAAAGATATCGATTCCTCTGGGACTCCACACTGATGGTTCTGTGGGGGTTGTTAACGCTGAGGCGTAGGAGAAGCAGCTGGATCAGGTGGCTGCTCAGCGGGATGAGGCTGGAGTCTGTCCTTGTGCCTTGAGGCAAGACGTCTGAGTGAGTCTGTATCAGTCTCCCCCCGAGCACATGGAATACTGACATAATAACATACACTTGGTCTACTTTAGCAGTGTCTAATATTACACTAAACTCAGCACCCGGTTTAACACTGAGAGTGCCAAACCTCAGCCCCCACCTAAGCCCCCACCTCAGCCCCCGCCTCAGCCCCCACCTCAGCCCCCGCCTCAGCCCCCACCTCAGCCCCCGCCTCAGCCCCCGCCTCAGCCCCCGCCTCAGCCCCCCCCTCAGCCCCCACCTCAGCCCCCGCCTCAGCCCCCCCCTCCGCCCCCACCTCAGCCCCCGCCTCAGCCCCCCCCCTCAGCCCCCGCCTCAGCCCCCACCTCAGGTGCCTCCTCAGCCCCTGCCTCAGGCTCAGGCTCTGGCTCTGGCTCAGGCTCAGACTCAGACTCAGGTCCAGGCTCAGACTCAGACTCAGACTCAGGCTCAGGCTCAGGCTCAGACTCAGGTCCTGGCTCTGGCTCAGACTCAGACTCAGGCTCAGGCTCAGGCTCAGGCTCAGGCTCTGGCTCTGGCTCTGGCTCTGGCTCAGACTCAGGGTTAGGCTCAGGCTCTGGCTCTGGCTCTGGCTCTGGCTCTGGCTCAGGCTCTGGCTCTGGCTCAGACTCAGGGTTAGGCTCAGGCTCTGGCTCTGGCTCTGGCTCAGGCTCAGGCTCAGGCTCTGGCTCTGGCTCTGGCTCTGGCTCAGACTCAGGGTTAGGCTCAGGCTCTGGCTCAGGCTCAGGCTCTGGCTCTGGCTCTGGCTCAGACTCAGGGTTAGGCTCAGGCTCAGGCTCTGGCTCTGGCTCAGGCTCAGGCTCTGGCTCTGGCTCTGGCTCAGACTCAGGGTTAGGCTCAGGCTCTGGCTCTGGCTCAGACTCAGACTCAGACTCAGGTCCAGGCTCAGGCTCTGGCTCTGGCCCAGACTCAGGGTTAGGCTCAGGCTCTGGCTCTGGCTCTGGCTCTGGCTCAGACTCAGACTCAGACTCAGGTCCAGGCTCAGGCTCAGGGTCAGGCTCAGGTCCAGGCTCAGACTCAGGCTCAGGCTCAGACTCAGGTCCAGGCTCAGGCTCCAGCTCAGGCTCTGGCTCAGACTCAGACTCAGGGTTAGGCTCAGGCTCTGGCTCAGAGTCAGGTCCAGGCTCAAGCTCAAGCTCAGGCTCAGGCTCTGGCTCAGACTCAGACTCAGGGTTAGGCTCAGGCTCTGCCTCAGACTCTGGCTCAGATTCAGGCTCTGGCTCTGGCTCTGGCTCTGGCTCTGGCTCAGACTCAGACTCAGGTCCAGGCTCAGGCTCAGACTCAGACTCAGACTCAGACTCTAGCTCAGATTCAGGCTCTGGCTCTGGCTCTGGCTCAGACTCAGACTCAGGTCCAGGCTCAGACTCAGATTCAGACTCAGAATAGTTGTGTAGAAATCCAAATGTGAGCTGCAGCTGCCGCTGACATAAGACAGAGCCACCAGAACTCCAGGCAGACTGCTCTGAATGTTTCCCCGAAACACACGCAGATGTGTCCAGATGTTTATCTGGGATTATTAGATAAGAACCGTTATTATGTGTATTATGTGTTGCTGAATCATTTATAATCCTTCTTTTGGCACACAAAGCCAGCAATGGTGTGCCCTGCTCCCAGTTTCATTAGTGCAATGTTCCCAAACTCACTCCACTCTCAAAACGCCAGACGTCTACTGGGTCCTAAAGTGTCTCCTGGGTCCTAAAGTGTCTCCTGGGTCCTAAAGTGTCTCCTGGGTCCTAAAGAGTCTCCTACTGTGAAATCAGCTCCTCATCCATGTCCAGGATCAGACAGTCTCTACATTCGAGGCTTAAAACAGTCTTTGGATCTATAGCCTCAGTCCTGGGTCTACAGCCTCAGTCCTGGGTCTACAGCCTGATCCTGGATCTACAGTCTCAGACCTGGGTCTACAGCCTCAGTCCTGGGTCTACAGTCCCTGGGTAAGGAGAGACTTAAGTTCACAGACTGACAGGACAGAGACCAGCATAAGTGAAGCTAAATGTGTTCATTCTTTATTAGTGATTGTAACTACGTACATACACATTCACAAATTATTTTTACAAAGAAATCTCTCTTCTAATGTTCTTTAGTCGAAACACTGTAATTAACAATGTAAGCCTGTATTATGTTTACTGCATGTACAGTATACATGTAGCAAACACACTATAGATAGATAGACACTTTATTGGGGCAACAGTAGCTCAGTTGGTAGAGCATTGGCCTTTGGGCCTGAAGGTCATGGGTTCGAGCCCACCATGAGACCCACTTCGTGACTCCCACTGAATCAGAATCAGAATCATTTTTATTGCCACGTAAGTAACAGGAGGTCACAGACTAGGAAATTGCTTTGGCTCAGTGCAACAGTCAAAAAGAGATAATAAAAATAAGAATAAAAAACACTTCTAAAGAATAAATTTAAATTTAAAATAGAGTTACAGTTACTATTTACAATATACAAGTGCACATGGTGCACACAATGTAAGGTGACAGCAGTACAGTGAAGTAAAGTGACGTATGATGGGCAGTAAAGTGACTTTATAAAGGGCGGGGGGACAGGTTAAGAAGTGTTCAAGAGTCCAACAGCAGAGGGGAAGAAACTGTTCTTGTGGCGGGAGGTTCTAGTCCTGATGGACCGCAGCCTCCTGCCTGAGGGGAGTGGTTGGAATAGTCCATGTGCAGGTGAGAGGGGTCGGCTGTGATACGACCAGCCCGGCCTCGGGCGACGTACAGGTCCTGCAGCGATGGAAGGCTGCGGCCAATCACTTCCTCTGCAGAGCGCACAATGCGCTGTAGTCCCTGTTTGTCCCTGACTCTGGCTCCAGCGAACCACACGGTGACGGAGGAGGTGATGGAGGAGGTGATGGAGGAGGTGATGGAGGAGGTGATGAGGAGGTGAAGGAGGAGGTGATGGAGGAGGTGCTGGAGGAGGTGATGGAGGAGGTGATGGAGGAGGCGATGGAGGAGGTGATGGAGGAGGTGAGGATGGACTCGATGATGGCCGTGTAGAACTGCACCAACATCTGTGCAGGCAGCTTGGCTTTCCTGAGCTGCCGCAGGAAGTACATCCTCTGCTGGGCCTTCTTGATGAGGGAGCTGATGGTCGGCTCCCACTTGAGGTCCTGGGTGATGGTGGTGCCCAGGAAACGGAAGGACTCCACAGAGGTGATGGGGGAGTCCATCACGGAGGGTGGGGGTGGGGGGACAGTGCTCTTCCTGAAGTCCACAATCATCTCCACTGTCTTCTGGGCGTTCAGCTCCAGGTTGTTACCTGGATGTCTGCTGTTGTTGTGTCCTTGGGCAAGACACTTAACCCCACTTTTCCTGAAGCCCCCACTGAAACATCTCAGCTCCTGCAGGAGGATCAGTGAGGGGCTGGTGCTCTGACTGCCACCCCCCGACCCGGAAATGGATTAAGGGGAAGAAAATGTATGGATGGAGATACTTTATTGATCCTGTCGCAGCAGAAACATCCATCCACAGAAACAAAACAAATAAATAGGTCATTCTAAAAGTATCTAACAATAGCAGTAATAATAACAGTCCTTCAGGTCGCAGCAGCAGAGGTGGAGCCGCCATTTTCTCTGCTCTGGTCCAAAGTAGAATGACAAATGGTTCATTAGCATTTTTCTAAAAGTTAGCATTCCTCCAGTGGATTTTCTCCTGATCCACTTGGTTCGGACCATGAATCCTCTCTGCTCTGGTCTGGACCAGTGTAAAACCATGAATCCTCTCTGCTCTGGTCTGGACCAGTGTAAAACCATGAATCCTCTCTGCTCTGGTTTGGACCAGTGTAAAACCATGAATCCTCTCTGCTCTGGTCTGGACCAGTGTAAAACCATGAATCCTCTCTGCTCTGGTCTGGACCAGTGTAAAACCATGAACACTGAACTACAGCAACATCTCAGGCAGAAAAAAGAAATAAAAATAAAAATGGTAAAACATTAAACAAAATTTTTTGAGAGACAATTAGGCCTTGCTGCTGTTCCCACCGTTTGAAAAGTAAACGATAAATATGAAATATATATGCAACATATACTGTATATACACAGTATTTATATATGCTTCCACCTGACCCCAGACCCGGTCCCGGTCTCAAGATACAGAGAGACAGTTCAGTTGTGTTTTTACACCTGGTTTGGTCCTGGTTTTACACCTGGTCCTTCAGTGTCTTTAGGCCTCCTGAGTAGAGCCCTGCACTTAAGCCCTTGGCCCGAGGGCCCCGACGGCCCGACAGCCCGAGGGCCGGGCTTCGGGCCGATGACCGCATAATGACCTCGGACACGGGCCGGGCTCGGGCTCTTCATTTTCAGAGCGGCAGAATACATTTACGAACGCACCCACTGAATATAGCGTTCTATCACGCTGTAGTGTTTGTTGTTCTGTGTAGTGTTGTCATTGACGACACATACCGTTACTTACAGGTGTGTTGCAGCATCTGGGCATCATACAGCTGTGTATCATACAGCTGTGTATCATACAGCTGTGTATCATACAGATGTTCACTCTGCACCACTCCGCACACACAGAACTCATTGCAACACATCACTACCATGTATAACTCCGCCCTCTAGCTAAGTCTGCGTTCATATCAGTGCGCGGCACTATATACTACGCTAAAACATTGTTATGGGAGGTTACAAAAAAAAAAAAAAAGGCGGGCTTGATGCGGGTTTTGAGCCTGAAAATTGAGAAACCATATCGGGCCGGGCTGGGGCGCCACCCCCTCGGGCCAGGGCCGGGCTCGGGCCCAGATAATAGGCCCGTGCAGGGCTCTACTCCTGAGCCTCCACTATAGCTACATTTTTGCTGTATAAAAACTAAGTTCAGCATTTTGTAAGCCTTTTTGAGCTGGCTCAGTTAAACGAATGCTTAATACAGCAGTTTGAATGATTTGTTATTGCTATTACCTTCTTTAACACACAGTCCAGTGCTAAAGTAAGTACTATTTTGAGCACTCTGTGCTGCGGCTACGGTGGCGTGAACATCTTTTTCAACACCCATGTTTTTACGTACAGTGCATTTGGCTGGAATGCTTTAGAAGGGACATAACTGACCTCGAAACCTGGGTCGGATTGAGAATAATAATTCAGATTCAGTTTATTTGCCATTTGCAGTAAATCCACATTGGAATACATAATTGCTTCCAGCCTCAGATAACCTAATGTGTTGATGTCGTTAGCGCGTTGCGGTGGTCTGTTCTGAAGCCGAGTGTATGAGGAGTATATTCAGGCTCCAGATGACCAATTAAATCCACTGACGGGATTTACATCTCCTATGTGGAAGTCATTTTTCTTGTGACTGACAGATGGATATTCCCCTCATTATTTCTAATTCAGCATGCCAGTAAACTACAGGCACTCTCACGTCCACCTGCACCTTTCTAAATTACGAGCACATAACCGAAGGTGAGAATTAGGTTCTCCTTTAAAAGTGTTTAGTCCTCGCTGTTTGTGGATCCAGCTTGTTCTGCACCACGGTGTCTTTCCTCAGAATGTGTTTTGGATTTGTACTCTCCTCGGAGGCTCAGAGCAGTTTGATAGTGCAAATGTGTCAGCTATTACTGGGCTCACCGGCCTGAGCCAGGAATGTGTTGAAGCCTCATCTCTGCTCTCAGACTAATGACTTCATTTGCTAAACAACATAGTTACATTTCACCGAGATCAGTAAAGTCCTGAGGATCCTGTCGACAGTTTGAAACGCCAAGATAGACTTTATGGTGGTCTACTGTTTCCTGGAAAGAGCAGAATATGTCCCGTGTCTCTGAGACCAGTCTGTTCCATCGCAGCTTTGAGCTTAAATACATAAAGTTCTTATTATTGTCAGTCATACAATACTTTCTGTAGACACAGAAACAGAGCATTATAATCAAAACCATTTATTATGAATGAAATAATTAGATATTGTTTTTCTCTTTTGCTCATGAGCACCAAGTATTGGCTACATCCATCCATTTTCTTCCCCTTAATCCATTTCTGGGTCGAGGAGGTGGCACTGATCTCTGATCCTCCTGCAGGAGGTGCTCCTCTCTGATCCTCCTGCAGGAGGTGCTCCTCTCTGATCCTCCTGCAGGAGGTTCTCCTCTCTGATCCTCCTGCAGGAGGTTCTACTCTCTGATCCTCCTGCAGGAAGTTCTCCTCTCTGATCCTCCTGCAGGAGGTGCTCCTCTCTGATCCTCCTGCAGGAGGTTCTCCTCACTGATCCTCCTGCAGGAGGTGCTCCTCTCTGATCCTCCTGCAGGAAGTTCTCCTCTCTGATCCTCCTGCAGGAGGTTCTCCTCTCTGATCCTCCTGCAGGAGGTGCTCCTCTCTGATCCTCCTGCAGGAGGTGCTCCTCTCTGATCCTCCTGCAGGAGGTTCTCCTCTCTGATCCTCCTGCAGGAGGTTCTCCTCTCTGATCCTCCTGCAGGAGGTTCTCCTCACTGATCCTCCTGCAGGAGGTTCTCCTCTCTGATCCTCCTGCAGGAGGTTCTCCTCACTGATCCTCCTGCAGGAGGTGCTCCTCTCTGATCCTCCTGCAGGAGGTTCTCCTCACTGATCCTCCTGCAGGAGGTTCTACTCTCTGATCCTCCTGCAGGAAGTTCTCCTCTCTGATCCTCCTGCAGGAGGTGCTCCTCTCTGATCATCCTGCAGGAGGTTCTCCTCACTGATCCTCCTGCAGGAGGTGCTCCTCTCTGATCCTCCTGCAGGAAGTTCTCCTCTCTGATCCTCCTGCAGGAGGTTCTCCTCTCTGATCCTCCTGCAGGAGGTTCTCCTCACTGATCCTCCTGCAGGAGGTGCTCCTCTCTGATCCTCCTGCAGGAGGTTCTCCTCACTGATCCTCCTGCAGGAGGTGCTCCTCTCTGATCCTCCTGCAGGAGGTGCTCCTCTCTGATCCTCCTGCAGGAGGTGCTCCTCTCTGATCACACACAGCAGTGAAGCCAACACAAAAGAACAGAGTGTAACATGTGTCAACGTGAAACTGACGAGAGACAAATTAACTCAGTTTTATTATTATTTGTAAGGTTAAATAAGGGACAGGGCCGTAAAACAGAGCCAGGCCCTGTTGTGTACACATTCGACCAAAAGGAGGAAGACGCCCCACTGCAGCTTCAAAGGAACAGCGAGGTCGGCCGGGAGTATCATTGATCATGGGTGGTGAGAGGGTTGCAATTATTGGTCCATAGTGAATGGGTTGAAGTCCCCAAGTATGACTGCTTTTAATGATAGATAGATGAGAAGTGTGGTTAGAAGGTGAGAAAAGTCATCTAAAAAAGCTCCTTATTAAGTTTTGGCGTCGTAGAATTGTGCAACAACGTAAGAGAGGTAACCATGCAGCAGTGGAGGCAGATTACTCGAATGAGTAGAAGACAGGGGCAGCAGCACAGGAGAGACTATTCCAAGTCTCCGTGAAGCATCGCGCGAACCACCCGCCCCTGCGGCCACATGCTGCTGGGCTGGCAGAAGTTAACAAACCCCGGGGAGTGGAGTCGTTCACGCGCAAAGTCATTGGCTGCTGCCAAGTTCGTTTCAAACACAAGAAGCTCAGCATAACTGTCCGACGCGGACATTCCCGTACAGATGGACCCTTGGAGTAGAGGGAGCGCACGTAGAGAAGGACCGAAGCTGACGGTGGGTGGAGCCTGTATCTGGCTGCGCGGCTAGCCGATCCGGGCCACGCTGAACCATGACACAGTCAGCGTCCCTACCAGCGGCGTTTGTTTCTGTGATCATGCGGCTGCCAAACGCGCGCCACGTTCACATCACTGAACCAAAACTGGATAATACTGCAGTGCCTGACTCATTAAGTTCCAGTTTACTAACATTTAGTTAAGAGTTTTTGTGGAGAAAAAACACAAGGAAGACTACCACTTTCGTACAACCAATAATACGCCATGAGACATGGAATACAGAATATATATACATCTTTTAAATTGCATTACAAAGCTATAACAGGGCCAAAACAATGAAACCAATCAAAGGCCTCCAAAATGGCCCCATTAATTAAAAACACATTCTTTGCACAACATGCACACACATACATAAACATTGTGAAGAATGGTAGGTTTCTTTTATGGTGATGGGGACACAAATCGACAGGATCATATATCAGCTGTGTTGCAGGTATGGCAGGAGATCACAGTCAGTACATTGTATGCGAGGAGAACAGAAACAGACAAAGGAAAAAGAGAAATTAATAATTATTCCTATAGCAAAAACACATTTAAACAACCATAGCTTATTTCTGGGCAAACCACAAAACAGAGGAAGCTCAATGGAAACTGTTCATTATAAAGGTTCAGTTAAAATAAATGAAAAATTAAAATAGCATAATTATCTTAATGTAAAGCATAGTTATCTTGATTAGCTGCAGACAAACGCAGATCGTAAAACTCTCTTTTGCAAAATATAGAAATTACTCAACAAAAATCTTCCATCACAATTCGTCTAAAGAACACAAGAACTACAGGATCTTACTTCTTGGACATAAAAATGCAACAAACAATGTACAAAGGACCATGATTACCCTATAGTTTAAAACTATTTCTAATCAATATACAAATATGTTTTTGCATATTTGCATGACCATATTCCTTAAAACATATAATTTAATCTAATAAATCACTCTGTGGTTTACTTACATAATCAGTGGGCTTTGTGTTCCCTGGGATTTTGCCTATGTCTATTCAGGAAATAAAACCAGACACAGAAAGACAAATGGTTTAATAAGAACACTATTTGGCGTTCAGTTATCAAATACAATTGTTGAACAGGAAGTCAATTCCACATCCTCCTCTCAGCAGTTTTGGGAATGGATTGTACATCAATAATCAAAGAAGTACAAACATCGGCGCCGTCTGGGTCCTCTATGCCCAGTCGGTACTTATTTTCCGATAATAGGACCAGCGTAAAAACGTTATCCCCCGCTTATTATACGGCTTTAATAACACAGAACAAACACAACAAAAACATCAGACCACTTTTTAGGAAGGCCGCAAGGTTTATTTAATGACATAGAATAAAATATTCCCAAAAGGCTACCCTGTGGCTCATGCTACAACAGTTAGGCAGTGCAACTTCCCAAACTATAAACTCACTGGAAACAGCATGAAAACATGAACAAATATTCAGGTACATAGCGTGAGTGACCCAAACATAAACTTACCTAAATCCATAATTCATTCCTCTGCAAATGTATCCTAAAATGTGCCTGTATCTGAAAATTGCCGGTTAACTACTTCCGGGTTTTTCGGGATCGCGATCTCAGTATTACATCCGTGTTTTTTGTTATGAAAACTTAAACCAGTAAAATTCTGAAAACTTCCGTGCACAATATAGAATTAAAACTGATATGAATAATTCACTCTCCGATAAACATTTCATAGCTTTATTGATTGGCAATTTTTTTGCGTTTTATTGAGCGGCCCGAACATACTTCCGGATTTCAACGATCGCTTTTTGACTCAGAGAAATATATTTTTGTCAAGAAGACAAGACCGACAATTCGAAAATCTCCGTGCACGTGTGTGAAGAAAGTATATGTATAAGTATTCTCCGATTAACAATTAAGTGAGTTGATTTGAGCGTGGATAACTCCGCAAGTAGATCTGGCCACTCCGGATCTAGCCACTCTCAGATCAACACACTTAAATGATTAATCCGGAGAATACTAATACATAAACATTTCTTCACACACGTGCACGGAGATTTTCAGAATTTTCTGGTCTTGTCAAACATGACAAAAATACATTTCTCTGCGTCAAAAAGCGATCTGAAAAACCCGGAAGAAGTATCCGGCCGTCCTCAATAAACGTACAAATGCCAATCAATCAACGCAATGAAAATTAATCGTAGAGTGAAAAATAGAAATCCAGTCTTAATACAAGTGCACGGAAGTTTTCAGAATTTTCCGTTTACGATATTCATAACAAAAACACTGATGTAATACAGAAAAAGCGCGATCCCGAAAAAGCCCGAAGTATAACCTGGCACATTTTAAGATACCGGCACATTTTAGGAACATTTGCATTGAACGAATATAGAGCTTAAGTTAAGTTTATATAGTTTGTGTCCCCTCACTAGCCTGATGTTCAGAATTCTTTGTTCATTTTCATCGCAGTTCCAAGAGTTCAATTTGGAAGTTGCCAGCCTAACTGTTGCTAGCATAGCCACTAAAGCCTTTGGGAACTATTTTATTCCTCTGTCATTAATAAACCTTTCGGCATTCCTAAAAATATGACTGAAGTTATGTTATGTGTTCTGTTGGTATAAAGCCGATAAAAAGCGGGATAACGTATATTACGCATTTCATTATCCGGAAAATAAGGTACCGACAGGGCAAAGCGGGACCCATACGCCATATTGGTACATCTTTGATTATTGATGTAATCCATCCCAAACTGCCTAATGAGGAAGTGACATCACATCCTGGTTTCAACAAATGTATTTGGAAAACAGACCGCCAAAATAAATGTACATATTAACCATTTAGACTATATCTGTGTTCAGTTTTTATTCCTGAATAAGACATAGAGCAAAAATCCCACAGACACAAAGCCACTGATAATGAAAGTTAAACACAGAGAGAATTATATAGATTAAAATATAATGTTTTAAGAATATGGCACAAAGCAAATATGCAAACCCTATTTGTAAATTGATTAGAATAGTTTTAAACTATAGTGAATCATGACTTTAGAACATTGTTTTTGCAATTTTTTAAGACCCAATAAGTAAGCTCCTGTAGTTCTGGTGATCTTTAGACGAATTTGTGAAGGAAGATTATGTAGCGTAATTTCTAATTATTGCAAAAAGATATGTATTTCCCTGATTCAGCGTTTAGTCCTGCAGCAATTCAAGCTAACTATGGCTACATTAAGCTAATTAGCTATAATAAAATGTACATATATTACCATGAAACCTTTATAATGACAGTATTCCATTTGAGTCTACCTCTGTTTGTGGTTGCCCAGACACATAAGAATGGTTGTTTAATGTTGTATTTATTTGCTATAGAATAGATTATTAATACTCTTTTCCTTTGCTGTTTCTGTTTCCTCCGCATACATGTACAGACTGTGAACTCCTGCCACACCAGCAACACAGCTGATACATATCCTATTCGAAAGAGTCCCCAACCATAAAAATAACCAGCCATTTCATTCACAATGTTTAATGTATTGTATGTGCATGATTTGCAAAGATGTTTTTTAATTCATAGGTGCCAATATGGAGGCCTTAGATTGGTTTCAATGTTATGGCCTGTTATAAGCATTGTAATGCAATTAAAAGATGAATATATATTCTGTATTCATGTCTCATGGCTTATTATTGTTGTACGAAAGAAGTTATCCTCCAATGTGTTTTTTCTCACAAAAACTCTTAACTAACTGTTAGAAACTGACTAAATTGAGTCATGCACTTCCAGTATTAACCATATAGGTTCAGAGAGTTGAACGCTGGCGCGCTTTGGCAGCCGCTGCTCACAGAACAAACGCGCTGGTCGGACCTGACAGTTTCCTGGACATCTGCTGGGCCCGATCGGCTCCGCCCGCGGAGCCAAGAACATCTCCACCCACCGTCAGCTACGGTCTCCTCCAACGTGCGCCTCCACTCAACACCCAGGCCCTCTGGTCCGGGATGTCCTCGTGGACCGTAAGCTGGACTTCTTGTGTTTGACCTAAACCTGGCAGCAGCCATATACCTTTGCGCTTTGAACGACTCCACTCCACCGGGTTTGTTAAATCAGCCAGCCCCGCAGCTGAGGTCCGGCCGGGGCGATGTCTCGCGATGCTTCACCGCGAACAATGGAAATTCCACACCTGTGCCTGCTGCCCCTGTCTTATACCTCCTTCGAGAACCTCTGCCTCACAGCTGCCTGGACCTTCTCCTACGTTGTTGCCACATCTACCGACCGCCAAAACTAATAAGGACTTTTAGATGCATTCTCACCTTCTAACACACTTCTCATCTATCTCTCTAACGCTAGACATACTTAGGGGACTTCAACATTCACATGGACAATAATAAGCAACCCCTCTCACCAAGACATCACCCCTTTTTAATATAGTTTTGGTTTACACAACACATTCATTTCCCACCCACACTAAATGGTCACATTTTTTGTGACAATAAATCCAGCTGCTCTGGTCTCACTCCACTGACTGTAAACCTCACACATCTCCCAACACAGACCATAACTCATCACCTCAATATCCACCCTCACCCTCACCAAGACCATCCATCCCCGAACCTTTCTTTCCGTAAAATTTCAGGACATAAACACTGCCACCTTCGCTCAGATATCAATATACCTCCCACTACAGCTCCCAATGACTCCCCCGATGACCTGTCTCCCACTACAACACTTCACTCATAACCACCTGAACAATCATGCCCTCTCAAAACCCGACCCGTCTCTTTCACCTCTCAGCACCCTGGTTCCCCACTGCCCCCGTCAGCTCAAATCCCAAGGACTCAACATGAACGGCTCTTCAATAAAACAGGACACACCAATCACAAACAAATGTACAATAACACAACATGCAATACAAGGACCATCACTCTGCTGCCAAATCCACCTACTAACTCCGGTTAATCCACTCAATCCATCAAAACTCCAAAACTCTCTCACCATCTCACACTATAACCAAACCCCTCTTGACTCCCTCCCTCACCATATGCAAACCACTGACATCTGTATCTCACTCATGTCCTTCTTATACCTCCCACACCTCAGCCATCCACCAACACCTGACCCCACATGGAGCTGCAGTCTCTGGATAGGACCCCCCAGCCCCCTAATCATCCCTCATAGCCACATTCTCCAGCTTCATCTGCCCTCCGTCCAAGCCATCTCCGACTTTATCATTAAATCCAAACCTCTACCTCTCATCTCGACCCTCTCCCTACCGTCTGGTCAAAATCCTGCCTCCCTCACTGCCCCCTCATCACAAATATCATTCACTCATCTCTCACATTTCATGGTACTAGTCCCCTCTCTCAATCAAAACGCCTCAGTACTCACCCCTTCTCAAAAAACCTTGCCAGGATCCAACCAACATCAACAACCTCCGTCCCATCTTCAAACCTTCCTTCATCACCAAATACTTGAAAAATCTGTCAGCTGCTCAACTCCCCAACCACCTCACCACCAACAACATCTACAACCAATTATCAGTCTGGTTTTCCCGTCCTCCACAGCACCGAAAACAGCTCATCTAAAAATCACTAACGATCTCCTCATCGCCTCTGACTCCGTTTACTCCTCCATCCTCATCCTTCTGGCCCTCACTGCAGCTTTTGACACCATTTTCTCCACTCCACCCTCCTGAACAGACTCTCCTCCAACGCCACACCCACACCCCCTCGCCTGGTTCAAACCACCTATCTTTCAGGTCGCTCACAGTTCCAATCCATCTCAATCCCACAAATCCCGCACTTTCCTGTCCAGCTGTGTGTCCCCTAGGGCTCTGTCCTGGGCCCCATCCTCTTCATCAACTATATTCTCCCACTCGGTCACATACCTCCGCCGTCACCACATTTTCACTTCCACTGCTACGCTTATGTACACCCAGTACTCTTGACTTGAGGGGAAGGGAGGACAGATTTGTTATGGATGGAGATTGAGAAGCTGGTAGATATTGGAGAGAGTGAGGGGGAGCCCTATATAATGACTTCAGTTTTTGAGCTATTGAGTTTGAGAAAGTTTGGAAGAGAACAGGAATGAATTTCCTTGTCGACATAGGGTGAGGGAGGAGAGGAATGGAGATAGGAAGATGGTTTAGCGTAGAGGTAGAGACAGGGTGTCAATCCGCGTAGCAGTTGAAGTGAATGTAGTGACGGCGAGGATGTACCGGAGTGGGAGAATAAAGATGAAGAAGAGGAGGCCCCAATGACCGAGCCCTGGGAAACCAGCAGAGACAGAAATCTGAAATACGAGAAAATAAAAGGGGGGAGGCATTGCTGCATTATTTAGAGATCGTATTATCTCTCATAGAATTCTCCTTGGAAATTTTCTATCATTTGAGTATATTTCTTTTAAAATAGAACAAAAACAATCTCCTTCTATTCTTATCATTGTCCTGTACAAGCCACCGCAGTCTTGTCACAATTTCTTTGATAATTTCACTGAGTTGCTTTCAGTGTTGTTTGCACCGATTTTGATAGTTTAGTGATTACAGGTGATTTTAATATTCATGTGGATAATGGCAATGACAAAAATGCAAAAGAGCTGAGTTCTGTACTTGAAACATTTGGTCTCACTCAGCACGTGAGTGCCCCCACCCACAGCAAAGGGCACACTCTAGACCTGCTGGTTACAAAGGGGGGTTAATATTTTAAATGTAAATGTGGTTGACGTGGCTCTGTCAGATCACTTCTGTGTATTTTTTGACATGTGTTTTGATAGTAAACAACCATATATATTTGAATCTGCAATTGTCAGACACAGACACATAAATGAAAACACAACCGAACTATTCATGGGAATGATAAACTTTTGAGAACACATTGTGTTATACTGTTGACGAATTGTTTAAACTCTGTCACCGCCAATGTTATTACATTGTTCTGGGACCATCTGATCGCTCATGTGGAAGGTTATAAATGTTTACAATATAAGCCAATAGGGCCCCCCCTGGCCTATAAATGGGACTCCATGTACATGGTACAGAAAGAGAGAGTGTACCGTAGGGCCTGAGCGGATATAGTGTGGCGAAATTAATCCAAATCTCCAGGGTCTGATTCATGTTATCTTCTAAAAAGGAGGGTTGGGCAAAGTTTTAACCTGGGGTGCTACGTTAGAAACAAGAGAATTTGTTTCATTTTCTAAAATCACCTTTGGATGGCTGCCAATAATAATCTCACGACTTATGTTTTCAACAGTTAACGGATTAACAAACCACCGTGTTCTGCTGCCATTCGATTTTGCTTCAGAATCTAAATGTAATGAGTTTGCACAATTTTTCAATGACAAGGTTCAGAGCATCAAAAACGCCATCACCTCCAAGGCAGAAATAACATTACCACAGCCGGTGAGGGCTGTTTGAGCTATCGCACTTTGCACCAAACAGATAATGAAACTGTCCAAGATGTTGTCTCTAGCCTTAGTTCCTCCACATGTAGCCTGGATGTACTACCCACTACATTTTTTAAGTCTGTTTTGAGCAGTCTTTTACCTTTGCTCACACAAATAGTGAACATGTCTTTCTCATCTGGAACATTTCCAATGGCCCTGAAAACGGCAGTCATCAGACCCCTCCTAAAAAGAGGGAGTCTAGATGCCACAGTTCTTAAGAATTATCGCCCCATTTCAAATCTGCCGTTTATGGGAAAAATTCTGGAAAAAGTTGT